CGTTTATTATTTGACATAATCAAACATTTCTCTTATTAGGAAATATTTAAATACACGAAAAACAAGTTGAATGATTTCACTATATGTAAGTGAAAGCAAAAATAAAATGAAACCAAAGGACACCTAAGTTATTTATAAAATCTCCAAAGTATTGAGTATCATTTCGACAGAAAATAGAAACCATGGACAAAAGAAAAGAAGAAAAAGGAAGGTTAATTGTTTCTCTCTGTGATGAAATGGATGGAATCAAAATTAGGTAATAATGCATTAATAGGAACTGTGAGCAGACAATTGAGTGACTACTGAATCCATTCATTCTCAACGATGTGATGGACTAGCAATCATCGAAATGACGTCTTAGAAATGCACCATCTTTCCAAGTGGTGTACCCATAAATGATGTTAACATGTTGTTTCTTTCTTTCTTTCTCGAATCCTCTCTTGTCTTGTTTTCCCCAATTATCATCCTTTACACGTTTAAAGCAGTCCGAAAATCATCCCTTATATGTCACGCCACTTCTTTATTCCACAGTCTATGAATAATAGTGATAGAGTCGTATCATCGTTCATGAACAAATCAATGACATGAGAGACCTTAAAAAGGTCACTTTCATAGAAACTCGGATATTTACTTCTATAACAATCTATTAAATTTCAAGGAAATTGAAAGGCGTTCAAATTTTTTTTTATTGTTAGAGTTTGTAAGATTAATTTTTAATGTTGAATAAATAAATAAGCAATCAGCTGGTTAATTTTATAGTTGGTGAGTCCATGCAAAAGTATAGATACATGTACATATCGACATGAGAACGTATGTTTCTTCGAAAATGCTGAAAAGATTGGAGGCCCACTTGGCAAGACAAGATGGCCAAGATGCAGCACACCATATGACCTGAAGATTGAGTCACAAAAGAAAAAAAAAAAAGAAATTCAAGATTGCCATCATTTTTTAAAATTTCTAGTTGAATTCATCAACAGACAAAAAAAAAAGTTTGTACCGTCTGACCTTCTCTATTGCTTTGGAGAATTATGGTAAAAGGGAAATTGCCAAATGCAAGTGTGGTCGCTGTCATTTTCGAAAGAAAAGAAAAAGCAGAACCTAGAAAAAATAAAATAAATGGAAAAAAAAGGAAGAAAGAAGTGAAAAAAGAGGAAAAGTTAGACGCAGCCACATCGGGCTTGTACGGACGGACCCCATCTCCAATGGAGAGGTGGGGACGTGCAGGAATCTCTCTGACCCGTTTGTCCTTTTTGTTTGATAGATTGATTGTTCCAATAATTATTTATTTCTGGGCATGTGTCTATGGTCAGATCTCACCATCTTCACCAAAAAGTAAGTTGGGGCCTCATCTTTACTAAAATCGTTTTAATTTTCTAAAAAGGAAGGTGAAATATCTTGGGTTGTTTAATGTAGACGTTATTAATAATTTCACCTATTTTGTGTTATATCACATTCTTTAAAAGGGTGTCTAACTTGTCAATAGAGATTGTTTGATTGTGGTGAATTTTGCTTATTCACTATGATGTAAGATTAAAACTGAAGGATTTTAATCATGCATAGAAGAACAAAATTCAAGCACAATTAGAATCAAATGCGGAAAACAGGATCGAAAATAAACTGACCTCCAGCCATTGTTCAACTTTACGTTCGTCGGAAATCCACGGTAGTTCGACGTCAATTCGAAACGATTACGGGCGCATTCTACTAACCCAATCCCCTTGCGTACTGATGGTGTATTACCGAATGAGAGGGTTTGCGTTAGACCTTGTGTCTTCCTTTATGGAATGAACGTTCATCTTTATAAACCGCTTCCCATCAAGGCGGTTACCGAAGATGGCGGTTGTCACCGAAGGGGTACGAAGCGTGGAAAAACCGCCAGTGGATAACCGTCACTCAAAAGAGAAAACGTGGGTCAAACCTAAATGTGGGATCACATTATAAATATAACATATGAGTCTTCTCATTTTTAGTAGATAGTTTAATAAAAAATGAACCACCGGTACTAAATTACAATCGTTCGTAATGAGCTTCATTTGATTTCGATGAATGTTTTCATTTCTAATTAATATAAATTGAATAGTCAAATTATATAATGCTTTTGATAATAGTGGAGAAATGGGAAGGTGGTCGGGCAGTGGCGCCATCAACAGCTCTTGCCGGGGTCAGGGTGACCCCCATCGGAGCGGTGTGACCCTTGCCGACCTCTTGAGAGGGCGGGGTGGCGATCCTTCTCCAATTGCAGGCAAGGGTCACGCAACCCTTGTCCGATCTATGGCAAGGGTTATGCGTGACCTTCGACCACGAGTGTAATAATGGTAAAAATTAATCAACCAAATCAATTGATGTTCAAATAACGAGGTAAGAAAACCCAAAAAAAAGATAACTAAGTTGATTATAAAAAAAAGAATAAAAAAATCAAAAGGAGATATTACTAGAAATAATGTGTCTTACTCCGGGCGAATATTTTTACTAATTCTAAAATTTTTTACCACAAATGAGAGTCACATACTTACCATAGATATGTTACTAAGTATAAGTAGCTCTAACTAAGAACAACGAGTAACTTGATCGGTAGGTTAGAAAATGGACGATGCCTAATGGTTTTCTTTTGTGTAAATGGCACGAGATCCAATCTTATGGTTAGATCACTTGATCGTACAAGCTCCTGTTATGCTTTGCTTTTCGTGTCTTTATTCTTTGTTCATCATGCACCATTATCGCAAATTCTTTAACAATGGAACGGGGGTCACATTATCTCAATAATTGATAGTGACAAATTGCGGGTCTTTAACATGAACTTAGAAATTTCAGACTCAGTCATCGGCGGCCATTTCATTAGAATATTGATATATGCACAAATACAAATAATCACTTGCGCAATCACGAGATCATTGACCGCTTAGAGAAAAAAAGACCCTAAAATAGAAGTGACTACTACACACCAAAGTACTTGAAAATAGACTAACATGATCTTCTTCCTTTCTAAAATGGAAAATAGTTCCAAGCTTTCTAAGGATTTTGCTTGATTAATTTCTAACTTATCTAGCTTCGAGAGAGAGAAACATAGCATGATCATCCTATCGAAGAGTTTTACAGATAAAATTGTAACAAAGAATATAAATAAATATAAGTAACTACACATTAACCGATAGATGATTGACATGTGAAAGATATTAACCTAATTATCGTCAAGTATACATGTTGATCATTTGATACTATAACGTATAAAAATTCTTTTATTCCGATCAATCCACGAAGAATAGCGCTTATTGGCACGATCTTATGACCAAGTCTTTTTGGTTAATAAGAAGCAATGGAAGAGGTTTCTAAGGGGCTAATTACAACTTCGTGTTCTTGATATGATCATGATGGCAGAATGATGAGTTGATGATGTCTAAGAGGAAATCTAGGTTGAAGTACGAATGAGACTCATTTATAGGTTTTGCTATGAATCTCAGCCAAGTATGTCAAAAATCGATGGTGGGAATAGAGGGCTGCCCTTGGACAAAACCATAATCATGAGCAGTCTTTAACTTTCATCCTCACATCTCAAAAGAGACAAATTATATGCCAATCTCATCAAAGCGCCGCCTTCATATACATTCATTATTTCGATAATGACCGTATGACGCAACGTTGACATGATTGCCGAAGAGCTTTTGAAGCCAATTTCGTGTATATATCAGTCTGTAGCTTCTGATTTTGATGGAATGGATCCGCGAATGCTTATCGATAAACTTACGCTAAGCCCTTCGTGTGTGCCGCATCGTTCTACCTTTTCCAAAGTGGAGTTTCGACGTGTGTTCGCCATTATCTTTGAACCGCTTTACTGAACTAAACTTATTAGAGTTTCCTGTTTATTTCTTGTTGGTGTAAACTCTTTTACAACTTAAATTACAACTTAAGATTTCGTTATTTTGTTTTTACTTTGTTTCACGCGACTTATGATATAAATAACTGTCAGAGAACTAGACTTCGTGAATGAGGGATGATATTAGTTCTCCTTATGTTTTGATCTTAATCTCATCTCTAGTGTTAGTGCCCGACATAATCCCAAAGTGGATTTGTTTAATTGTGTATTTTGGGCTTGGAAATTTGAAGGAGTGACCTTTTGCTCCATCGTGCTTTGATAGAATAAGATGGATATTCTTCGAAATTCCGGTTTTGCACATAAAGATGATCATTTCTAGGGGCAATTCTCTCTTTCCTTTTGTTTTGTTACAACGCGCATGTTTGTGCATTAATTACATGGTGTTGGAGCTAAATTTATGATAGCTGATCATTTCATGCTGGCCACATTTTTTTCTAATTTCAAGTTGTCAAATTATATATCATTTTTTTTTAGATGTGTTGTCAAATTATATTTGCGATTCGAGGAGATATGCAGGTGAAGGTAAATCAACAGTTCAATTCGTAGACACTGGACCACACAAATCATGAACATGAAGATGCCCTAATAAGAACTAAATTTGGTGGACCATGCACACATTATTTTTAAAATTTTTTTATAAGTACACTATTCTAATTCCCTAAAATATATAACGGAGTTTCGTTCCAATTTAGTACAGTGGCCGTCCTCCCAAATCCAGAAGGTAAAAGCAATGCTAGTTTTCCATAATCCAGTTGCAACTTTTTCGTAAAAGAAATATTTTTATCTTCTTAATCACATGGGAATAATAAAGTAACTAAGTAGATAATGTCAAGAAAATGTCACGCTCAGGTTATAGTTGGTTTTTCATTCTTAGTAAACAAGATTTGAAAAAAAATGCTCTTTATACATGAACCTGTTGATCCTCATGCAAGAACAAGAAAGGGGAAAAAAAGAAAACATAAATGACATAGTTGTGCGTATATAAGCAACTGTGTATCTTTACTCTTCTTCACCACCACCCTTCTCTGTCCTCATCATCTTCTCTCTCTCTCTCTCTCTCTCTCTGCTGATAGTCCTCCTCTCCCGTTCCTGCTCTCGATCCCTCATCCCTGTCGTCGTCGTCGTCATCATCGCCGCTGCCGCCACCGCCGCCTCTCACGTTCCTGTTCTCTCTTTCCCCATCATCGCTGCCGCCACCGCCACCCCCACACCCTCAATATTCTTCTTCTTGCTCCATATTTTTTCCCCTCAATGGAGACCAAGGAAAGAGAGATCATTCTTTGCTAGGAATCGCCATTACTGTGTCTTTTATTACATGGATTTCATTCTTGGCCATATCTTTTCTTCCATCGATCCATTGTTGTCCTTTTTTCCTTTGACCTTATCCCATATTTTCCTGCTAAAAGTTTTGGGATGGAGTTTTCATTAGCTAGGGTTTATTTATTTGGAAGACATTGACATAAGGAATCTCTGAAGCTCTTCCCTTTTAATTTTCTGTTCTTGACGATATTCCGGACCATAGTTCTTCCTCTTCTTTTTTTTTTCCTCCTCTTATTCCACATGTTTTTATCTCTCTCTTTTTTTTGGCGAACTTTTATTTCCATCTTCAGAGGGCCAAATATTTCACTCTAGAAGGTTTGTCAAATGATCCGCAAGCAGCTGCCCACAGTCATTTGTTTGCAGGTGCAGCATCATCAAGATTCACACACGATTTCACGGCATAGACATGAATTTCGCCGACAGAGGTTTAGTATTGAGAATCTTGATGATGCTGCATCAGCAATCAATGACTAGTATCCCATTATCCACAGCCTTTAATATATTGAGCATTTGAAGAAGTGTGTATACATGTCTAATCTCAGGGTCTTTTCTTCACTTCTGGATATAAAAGGTCCCATAGGACTGTAACTATGTGTTTATTTTTCTCTTCCTTTTCATTTTAAAATTATTAATTGAAATAGTGGGATGTTTTGTGCATACACCAATTAATTGCAGCAACGCCAAAGCAGCTAGCATGTGTATACACAGAAGGAGGAAGTGCTCAGCCATCAAGTGATACTGAAGTTTCTTTGGCATAAAAGGTAAGATACTATCCTTAATAATCTGTGAGCAGTAATATAGATTAATTAACCCATGTTGCACATAATCTGTCAAACAAATCCAGTGCTGCAGCGAATCTTTTGGTTTTCATATTGTATGCATATTATAAGATGAGAAAAATGTGGTTTTGAGCGCTCAATTAATGATTTTAGGATCTTCAACTGCAAGTAGCTGAAGCATGGACCAAGTTGAGTTTTGAATTGCAAAATACCATGATCATCATCTTGATTAAATTCGATTGGCTCGTTCCGCCATATATTATTAGGTGGAGCCATTCCATATGATGCTTCATTTCTTCCTATTGATGGCAACGTGTGTCGACCATATTAAAAGCTTGTTTGAAACAATATTGTTGTTGCTAGTAGATTTGGATTTGAAACAACTCACACAAGTAGCTCAACTAATGTAGATAAAACTTTGAATTTTGAAATTGTTTTATCTTCATAAATGGATGAGTTAATCTTTTTTATGAAGACTACTTATTTCTTTTGCCTCCAGCTGCCAACTTCTATATCTTTAAATCAATGTTAAGTGTGATGACATGATTTTACACAGACAATATTCAGCAACTGTCTTCTACATAGATAAATGAGGTATCGTTTTACTGCATAGAGATAAGCCAAGAGAATGAGGGAACTAGGCACCGAATTGCGATGTTTCTCATCTTTTAGAGCCACTTAACATTAGGAAGTTTTGTTCGTGATTCTTGCAATCTAATTCCTCGATTGAATTACTACTAGGGGGAAAATACATATCTAATTCTGACTAGCCCGTCTAAAGTTGATGCATTCTGATTCTAGAGTAGTGTTTATTAGTTGTATGTTGTACAAGATTTTCGTTGCATATGCCGGCTTTCTTGAAAATGTTTATCTTTTTGAGCTCACTTAGCCAATGTTGCATTAAGAGTAATCTTAACTAAGAGCTAATTAGTGTCATAAGCCACTCTTTTGTATTAGAAAGGTGAAGCTAAGAAGAATTAATTAAAATCCTCTTTTAATGAGAATAGGGTAAGAATAACATCGGATTTCATGAAACAGATTTAAGATGTAATTTTTACGTCAATGGCATATTTTGGGAGGCACTAGCTTCTGTGAAGGGGGAAAGAAGGAGGAGAAGAAGAAAAGTCCTCTTTTTGTGGCAATTGACAGATGAAATTTTTCCCCATGCTTGAGGTCCACATTTCACATGGTGGGAGGAAGAAAAGGCAATAATGGAGTACAATTGAGAGATCACACCAGAGAATTAGTGTATGACAGGAAGATATTTTTCTTTGTACTTTTAGAGATTATGCTCGTGTGGATTTTTGTGGAAACTATGATTCTTGTAGCCTTTAACGGATGCGTTATTACTTCTTTGTATTTCACCGAACCTCCTAAAATGATTTCACGCAACGGCATATATTCCTATATATGATGTGAAAAACTAGTTCTCTTCCAATAATTGATACCTCATGTTTTTGCACTAGAATGTCATCTATGTATACTGTCATGTGAGGTCTGGAGATGTTCTGAAAACCAGCCTTTTAACTGTAGTACAAGATCACTACCATGCAAATTAATGGCGTAGTGCGTGCTATCTCTTCTTGTTAACTAAGTTTGAGTTAGGGTTTTCGGAATCAGGATTATAGAAGATTTTCGTCTTAGTGTACTTGTTTCATCGGTTAATCGTTTTCTTATTCTATCCAGGCCCCCGTTGACTTATTAAACCTAAAGTAGTTATGAATGTAATTAGCTTAACGATCTTGATTTTCGAGGGAAAATAAAAAACGAAGGCCGCTTTACATTCTTTAGTATTGTACTGTGTGCGTTCTTGTGGTTCAGGTTTTGGGTCGTTGGCATCTGTTGTTCTGTGTTCTGGTTCGAGGTATGTTTTTAATTACACCGATTTGGTTAGGAGATTAGCATGCCATGTCGTCGGAGTACCTTCTTTTAGCCGGTACAATCAGGCGAGCTTCTTTCTCTCCCTCGTCCAGTCCAAGGCCGTCTGTCCGTCCGATCACGCCAGAAAGTAGGATGTTTGTGAGAAATTTCTTCCTCGAGACTCAGAAGTCGGGCTGTAGCTTTTGTTATTGTAATAAGATTAATTCACGCAGTGTTCTCTTGGGTCGAACAATTCAACAGCAGGTCTTCTATATGTCTTTTGACAAAGTTCCTATCACGCATCTCATCTAATAATATCATTGCAGGTAAAACTATTATTTACAGATGGAATTTAGTATCAGATGTGAAAAAAATGGTCCTCTCCTGCTACATCTCCATGGTTCCGCACTGGAAGCTGCTCATCTCCAAGAGTATATTTGCAATCAATTTGCCACGTCCTAATCGTGTTGCATCACTTTCTCTTTTCCCTGAACTGTACCTTTCTGAAAACCCTCCAAACGAAGAGCAAGCAGGACAGAATTCTCTTATCATTTCCATGCATACGTATAAGTAGGTCATAGACGAGAAGGGTTTTACATTAGGGGCAGGGACAGATTGATCGAACTATCATGAACAAGTATTCGATCCAGATTGACAAGGAGGCCGGGCTGTTAGACTGCTCGAGTTCTTTGGATTGCATCCTACAATGCAAGTGTTTCCTACGTTTCGCCTAAATTGTTAATCATGCACGATCAGCAGAAAGATTGATCAACAGTATTATACGCGTGTTTAATACATGTCACTTCTCTTAAACAAGTGTAGCCACATTGTCGGCAACTCGGTCAACACACGTCGGATGTCTTTTTACGGTACCCCTAAACCTCGAGCGTCTGATATTTACTAGTTTGCAATCGCTGTTATATCCCCGAATCCATGCCGCTAGTTTTGGTTCAATGACATAGAAGCCCCCCCTTTCCCCTTCCTTTCCTTTTCACATTGATGGACACCATTTATGACAAAGATCGAAGGTCCCCATCTGCAACGTATTGTGCCCTTTTTCCCCCTGCCTTTCATGGTCTTCCCTCCCTCGCACGATGCTCCAACTTTTCTCTCGAGAGGAGAGAAAGAAAAAGGAAAAATTGAGATGGAATCGAATCACATCCCTGCAAATCCTCGCCTTCATGAATTTACGACCGGGATTTAAGTTAATTACCGCGGAAGGTTGATCAATCGATCCAAAGGGTGGGTCCGCACGACAAGAGCAATGATGATGCACAATGGTGATGGACGTACGAGGTCGAATGATACGGCCCCACCCGAAGATCTTCCCCCATATCTCTCCACGGCTTATTCAAGAACGATGACCCCAAAAATAGAATGATGGACCACGTCGCGATGTTTAGTTCGGACCGCACGAGCACGTCCACCGAGAGAGATTATCGATGTCCCCTGCTTTGTTTTGTCGGTTGATTGATTGTTCCTTACTTAATGCATCGACCACTTCTGTGTACGTTCGTTGCTTGGGACGTGACAAAAACCCTTCTGCTTTCCCTTTCACCATTTCTCTACCCCGTTCGGGTCGGACCCACCGCGGCCACTGATCGTGGGAGTCCCATAGAATTCAACCGATCGATGGCTGTAATTGCATATGACACCACGAATTATGGTCCATACAGGCCGGTGATGGTATTCGCTCCTTCAAAACACGGCCATTGGCCTCATTTGCGTGTGGGAGGGAGCATCAGGAAATATAATCGAGAAACATATAGATTATTAGTTCCTGAGAAACCAATGATCTTGGGACAAAGTTAGTTCTTTTGGAGATCACTTGCTACCACTGGATTGTTCTTGCTCTCATCCTGCTGTGTACTCAAACAAGTGATCTGTGTTCAATCATCTTGCTCGATATCTTCACAAACCACATTCTTGAACCAGCTTTGGCATAGTGTAATATTTTGAAAACCATGTTCTTCTTTAATTAGCAATTAAATTTAAAGCTAGGGGTGTCAACAGAACCCACGCAGGCCCAGCCCGGACCGCACCGGCCCGACTCAGCTCTAAAATTTGGGGTATTTTAGAGTCGGGCTTTAATCTTCTTCGAATATGACCCTAAAATTTGGGGTATCATCAGGGTTTGGGTAGGGTCGGGCCGACCCATTGACACTTTGGGTCGACCATCTCCCTCTCTCCCCTCTCTCTCTTCCCTTCTCTCTCCCCTCTCTGCACGCACTATGCAGAGCGTGAAGAAAAAACCTAGATCTCTCTCCGATCGGCGACGAAACCGATCACTTCCCTTTGTCGTTTCGCGACAGCTTCAAGGTTCTTCTTCAAGCTGAGGACCGGATCCGGGGGCGGCAGAGTCCGGACCCGGGAGGCGCTGGGCTCGGATATCGTGCGGAGGCCGATTGTGTGGCCGGCGAAGGATTTGGTTGGGGATTCGGTGGAGGACGAGGCGTCCGGAGGAGTGGAGAAGGCTGATTTGAGCGGCAGAGGAAGCGAAGACAGTGAAGAGGAAGTGCAGGAAGAGGAGGAGGAGGAGTGGGTTGATCGGGAGGATAAGATATTGGAGGACACGGTGCCTCTAGTTGGCTTTGTGAGGATGATTCTGCACTCTGGAAGGTGAGGCCTCACATCTTTTGGTGAGAGCAGAGTAACATCTATTAGGACTAACATCTACACAGTGCTTCCGTTACGTTAAACCCAGCTTTTGCTTTTGTGTTCTCTCTACCAACTGCTCTGCGTGGGTGCGTGCGTTTCGTTACCTAAGTTTAGCTCTCTTCAGGTGGAGGTAAGGAGGTGCTTCGCGTTGGGTTTCTCTTCCTTTTTCTCGTTTTTTTTTTTTTTTTCTGGGTGGTGGATGCTTTGAATTCTAGTGTGTCTGAAAGAGGAAGGGGCTAAGTGTGAATAGGAATCGGTTCCGGGTTTGTCCGTGCCGTGTTGAGGCAGGTGATGAGGGTAGTTCGAAGGGCATTTGTTTGGTCTTTTTGCGATTTCCGATGAAGTTGAATGATGTAGGATCTTGAACGGACTCCTTGTGTAGTTATGGCGTTTTGATCACCGGTCCGATATGCACATCTTGGTGCTGGAAGAGGTCTTTCTTAAGGGGAGAGAGAGAGAGAGTTGGCATTTAATGGGTATCGTTGTAACTTGAAAAAATTAGGAATTGCATCCTACCTGTAGAGTAAGGAACTTAATCCAACTTCTTTGGAACTCCTCCCAACCTCTACTGGCTAAAGCATTTAAGTATTAAATCATGTATCCATCTAACTATTTGCCTCCCATTTATTTATTTATTCATACGCTTGAATTATAAGTCACATCTTAGTCTATGCTCATGAGAACATATTTGCCTCCCATGTCGCTGTTCTGTTAGTATTTTGTCTGCATATTTATATGCCGATGAACTAAACTTTGGGTTTCTGTTTGGCCATCTACTTGCACAAGTGGTAATATAATTAAATACATTATTAGATTTCCTCCAATGCTCTTCCTGTTTGCTTTGCTGTGTTCATTCTATTTTTCTTTTCGAGGAAATTTTGGATTCCAAAATGTGCTGGGTGTTGTTAGTAACCCAACCTTATCTTCCAATCAAAGAAATTAAATTTGTGATGCTGCTTTTGAAAATTTCCATATTATGTGTTACTCTCACGTGGTGCCTTCAATTCCTGACGATAGCAAGTTAAACTTGCTTAACATAATGCTACATTTTAGGATGAATTTTTCAGTAACATTTACATCATATTGTTCTTTTCAGGTTCAGTGCTCCCATTTTGTATTATGATTAATGAGCACTGTCCTTGACTTCTCATTAGTGGTAAGTGATTTTTCAACAATTTCTCTCTCTGTATAATGAGAATTGTCTCTCACGCTTTGAATTGATCAAGCCTGTGTCATACTAATGCGCTGCTGCGTCTATCCATTTTCAGGCGACACTGCATTGACGGGGAAAAGAAATTCGGAGTCCAACCCTTTTGCACTAGCTTTATCTTTGGAATGTCGACCCATGATGATGTATTAGTAATTGGAAGCAAGCCAGTCTTGCTTAGGAGTGAAAAAATTCCAGTCATTGCTATCCGTTAATGTTGTTTTAGTTTCTTTCTTTTTTTCTAGTTACTTTGTACTACAGAACTTGTTCTGCGATGGTATTGTTTTAGTTTCTTTCGTTTTTTTAGTTACTTTGTACTACAAAACTTGTTCTGCGATGGTACTCACGCAATGAGAGTGGGAAGAAAAGAGATTCTGGCGTAGTGTTGGAAATCGTCTCTATTATCATTTTTCCGTCTTGTGCATATGAAAAGAAAAAATAAGAGAACAAAACCAACCTAACCTGATTAGTCATCTAATGATTCGGTTCTGTATTTGTGGCGGGTTCACAATTCCAATCTATCTGCGCGAAAAAAGGCCCGACCCGACCCGGTCCGGCCCCGGGCCTTGGGGTGTGCGGTGAACAGGGTCTCGGATGGGTCTGGACGGGTCAACCATGACCCTGTAGGTTCGGGTCGGGTATCAAGAAATCCCGACCCGACTCATTGACACCCCTATTTAAAGCCATGCGAATTCTCTCCCCCGATGCAAGAACAGCGAGCTAACCAGTAGCCCAAAGCCCATCTCAAATGCCAAAGGCCGAGTCCTTGCTCAAGAAGAGCAGCCTCAGCCCAAGCAAACCGTTGAAAACAGCTTCTTGAACTCACCCATCTGATCAAACAACTCGCTTCCTTCTGTTGCGAGATAAACTCGAATTTTTTCTACTCGAGCTCATCTTCTGACAGACATCGTTTCGCGTGATGAAGTGGGAGAGATTTCTATCGATTCCGATATTTGCCGTGTTCCTTCTGATGGGTTTTGTTTATTACATCACCCTGTTCGTTTCCATTGAAGATTGGGTCGGTTTACGGAGCTCGGACGGATCGTTTCACGCCTTGGCCTTCAGTTTCTTGGCTTTCTACAGTGTTTTCTCGTTCTTCGTCTGCGTGCTCACTGACCCGGGACACGTTCCTCCTTCTTACGTCCCTGATGTTGAAGATAGGGAGCTCTCGGATCAAGAATTTAGGAGAAATGTGAGTTCTATCGTGTTCGCTTGCGTACTGTATCTTGTTCGGTTTCAGTGTGCTAATTGGTTCGGCAGATTAGCTTTTTGAATTATGCGTCCTGCATATGAAAATGGGGTTTCATGTGTAGTTCGAGAATGGAGTAATGGATACAGATACGTAAATCCTTATGCTACCCAATGGGTGACTCATAAGTTCAAATTTTGCATCGTTATATAGTTTGTTAATATTTTCATTGGATTTGGGTTATGTGCCTGCAGAGCTCTTGTGTTAGGTCTTGTTTTGGCTTTGGTCTGGGATTGATTCTTGTGAACTCTCTAAAAGAATTATACTTTGTGTATTCCTTTTTCATGGCATTTTGAGGACCTTGTTTGTTAGCTTGATTATGTGCATGATTATGTAGTCTTTCTAGAGAGGTAATGATCAAGTGCTGCTCTCAGGTCAATCTATTTTACCCAATGAAATGATATGTTTCCTCGTTCATCCAGCGCGAGATATATGTACATACATATTCAGATATTGTATATACAGATATAAATGTGTGGATGCGTTTGTTGTAAATAGATGTGCCTATGTGTTTCATGTCAAGCTTATATCGAGTTTCCTAGTTTTAGAAGAGACGCATGGATGAGATGCAAAACTTACTTTTGAGGTTCTTATATAGATAAAGTATCTATTTTTGTCTGTTTGAAATCTCATGAAACAGACGTTCGGAGGATCTCATATCAATCTTATTTAAGTTGCGTCGACTCTACAATGATTTCCTGAACCTTTTTGGTCCCGCAAATCCATCTACTTTGTAAGCATTGGAATCTCTTGCCTGCAAAAAGTAAAACTAGGGTAGCGGGTCCTCCCCTCTGTTTGTACTTTTTGTGCCTATAGTTTCGATCACTCAAAACTTCAGATGATCCATAACAAAATTATAAAGGACGGTTATAATTTTGATTCAGCCAAAGAGTATTAGTCTGCTCAGCTTGATCTATGGCCTCTATATTTCCCTCTTCTGGTGTAGTAGTGAGTAAAGCTTAATGTGTGAATGCCCTGAGGGGAGGGTAATTAATCTAGAGCTGTCATGATTTTTGCATATGGGACACTTCCCCTTCAAAGCCTCTTGGTATAGGGAATTGCATCCTCTTAATTTCTTTACTAATGAAGTCTTCTCTATATTTCTTAAAAGAGAATCTCGAGATAATGGGTTTTAAACTTAAAAAGGATTTGCAATGGTTCATTGTGGAAATGATGCGTCATGACTTTCTGGGTCATACATGAGCTCATGTGGTTGGTTATGTGGATATTTTCTGTGGCATACATTGAAGTCACTGCAGTTGATAGATGATGAACCATATCCCTATCTCCATTAGCTCAACTTTCATGGATATTTCGGTGCAATACTGTATCTTTCATGGGAAGAAAATGTTAATTTTCCTTTTGATCTATTTAGCAGCACAAATTTTTACCTGTGGTCCTAAATTGTTGAAAGATGAACAAATACTAATAGGTTACACATCAAAGGAAATGTGAGATTTGTTCTACATACAAGCCTCAAAGATGTCATCATTGCCGAACCTGCAGAAGGTGTGTTTTGAGGATGGTAAGAGTGGCTAGTGTAATTTCTTCTAAAAATATCTTTGACGTTTCAAAAATTTTCTACAGATTTTATGTAGTAATGGTTCCTTTCAATGATTCCTTGGCGGCAGGATCATCACTGTCGATGGATCAACAACTGTGTTGGTTACTGGAACTACAAGGCCTTTTTTATACTTGTCTTCTTTGCTACTGTAGCAAGCATCTATTCAATGGTATATTCTACTTCACCTCTTTATGTGAACATTAAATTAGCTTCCTCAATCACTGATGCAAATGACCTTCCTGAAATTCTCATCCACGCTTTCTGTATGCTTAGGTCATCTTTATAGCATGTGTTCTCCAAAAGGACTGGGAAGTTTTGGGACGATCTCACCTCAAGGTTCTTTATGTAAGTTAGAAGCTATCTGCTTCATGGGTTATGCATTGATAGTAATAGTTCTAGTCAGTTCATCATGATAAATACTCAAGTTGAACAGAGATTAATTAGATCCTTGTTTCATTGGTGGAGTTCACGTTCATCTATTGTGTATTAATCTTGCTGTTGATGAGGGATACATGAAATTTCACGTATAGTTTTAAGATCTCTTTTTCCAATGAAAAGCAATTAGGTCCTTATCCTAAGCTGGTTTATGTATCTGCTGCAACCACAAGGCTACGAGCTGCTTTAATGGAGTAAAAGAAGTATTCTTACTATTATTATTTTCTGTAAGTACTCTTAATTATGTTTCTTGGTACTGCCTCAGTGAGATAAACCACGTCGTATGTGTGCACTGTGACCATAGTGACTTTCTTTGGCACTTGATAGAATGTTTTTTCTTAGCATTGTTCAATAAATAGACAATGGATCTCATTCTATGATGCCCCATGCTCTTTCTGGTGTGTGTGCATTGTGACCATCGTCGTAGTTTCTGCTGTGCAAAATTCTTCTCGTGCTGTATGAGGATTTTGATGAGAAATTATACTTTTCTCAGGTTACATGTGGAACATCTGTGATTGGCCTGAGTATGACGCTGGGTTCTTTGTTGTGCTGGCATGTCTACCTCATGACCAATAACATGACAACCATAGAGGTACTTGTTTATTTTTTAGCATACAATGTAGAGAGTTATGTTCTCCTTCCAATTAATTTTAGAATTATGCCTCTGGACACTTCATCAGTATTACGAAGGAGTACGAGCACGATGGCTGGCAAAAAAATCTGGGCAGAGCTATCGTCATCCGTTCAACCTTGGTGTTTACAGAAACGTGACATCGGTACTCTCTCTCTGTCTCTCTCTCTCTCTCTCTCTCTCAACTGCCTCATTGTTTAAATCTGATCGATGTTCAATAAAAGGATCAAGTGTAATCGAGGAGCTCTTGTCGCTTGTTTTAGGTCCTTGGCCCAAACATGCTAAAATGGTTACTGCCAACAGCAGTAAGCCATTTAAAGGACGGTATCAGCTTCCGCATTGCACATGATACGAGGCAGACAACATGAAACAAGATTATCGGGCAACCTATTCAATTGTTCTTCTCTTCCGGAGTTGGAACGTCGTCAAAGAATTGAGGCGGAAAGTGGAGTTCCATGACCTCAAGCCTGTCAACTCGGATGCATACAATCTTGTAGGAAAGACTCACGATATTAGAAAGTTGGTAGACACGCGGAATGACTATTCTTCATCACGTCGAGTGTGTCGAAACATGACGCGTGCAGTTGCAGGTATCACTGCTGTCAATATTCATTACTTGTACATCAAGGTTTTTTTTTTGTTATCATATATCCACTCTTCTATATTTAATGCAACGAATTTCATGATAGGCATAAGATACAGAATAATCTTTGTATGTATCTTGTCAAGGAGTGCCAACGGGGCATTGGTTAAGCATACCGGAGAAAAGTTGCAATTTCCAACGCCCTGATTTCACAATTCATCAGAATAGTTAATTCACGAAAATCACTTCACAAGCGCCTCTAGGCACTTGAGCAAATTTCTCTGTGATACACAATTTTCGTGTGGTGCGACACTTCGCCATATGCAAAGCCTTTAGATTTCTGCATCTTATATTTCATGACAGAGGACAACTAATTGGAGATTCAAATGCATCTGGTTAAGCAGAAGCACCAAGTTGCAATCAGTGAGACTCTTTCTTCTTAATGGGGGATGTGGCTGATTCAATTCCTTGAACTGGCCCAAAGAATTTGATCAGTCTCTTTGGACAAAGTCAATGTGCCAAAATACTGGAAATGTTCAGGGCCACCTAATTCTCATTACGTATGTACGAGATGGCGTGATATGATCCTTTCTCTGATTTATTTAATCGAGGGTTCATATTTGGTTTTGTTCCAACTCAATTCATTCATCATCTATCCCTGATTACAAAATCAATAGAATGAGTTTAACAATAAGAGTTTTGTATTGAATCGTGACCTTCAACAGCGATGGCCCGACAGGACACGCTACCGGCGGCATGCGCCGGGAATGCCGTGGGTAATAAAAAGACAACGCTTGGTTTTACGATGTTGATCATATATATCCTCCATAATGACCATTTGATACTCATTTCTAAAGTGCGAATTACGGTAAAATTGGAAAAATTGTTCAAAAAGTCATAAACCTATTGTCAATTAAGTCATAAACCTTTCAAATTTGCCAATTGAGTTTTAAACATTTTACGTTTTGCCAATTGAGTCAATCTGGCCAATTTTAATAGGAAATCGCCGATATGGACGCCAATAGTTTCACGTAGGACAGTCGGCGTTGAGGTGTATAGTTTTTTTATAATTTTAAAACAAATTGATTTTTTTATAAATTTTTTATTCTTTTTCTTTCTTTCTTTTCCTTTTTTTTTTCTATTAATTCCGTGCGAAGGTCACCGCCGATCACAGGCGAGGGCCGGTGACTAGGGCCGTGAAGCCCTCCCCGGTCACGAGCGAGGGCTTCACAGTCGACGAGGGTAGAAAGAAAGAAAAAGAAAAAGAAAAAGAAGAGAAAAATAATACATAATATTTCAAAAATTCAAAAAAAATAAAATATTATTAAAAAAATCTCACGTTAGCGTTGATCATGCCATATAAGACGGTCATCATCCACGTTGGCATTCTTTTCGTTAGTTAGATTTGAAATAGGTTTAGAAATTTTTGGACAATTTTTCCTCGTAAAATTTGTGAGATCAAAAGGTTTAGAATCAAAATGGCAAAAATTTAATAAGTTTGAGATTTTTTGGATAATTTTTTTCGGTAAAATTTGTGAGATTTGAAATAATCTCATTAGCCCTTTTCAACGTTCCTTTTGTTTTGTTAGATTGATGCGATGGTCAAAGGGCGATTTTTCTATTTTCTTTTAGGTATGTATTAAAAGTGAAGGGTATTTTTATAAGTGAAAATGATTGCGTGCCATGCGCAAATTCAAAAGGCAAAGATAAGGGGGAAATCTATTTTATCAGACGTAATCGATATGAGTAAAGATTTCTCCAAATCATTCTTTAACACAAGTCAACCGTCCGTCCCGTTCTATGTTTTAGGTTAATTAATCCTCGATTGCTTTGTTAAGGATCTCTGTTTTTGTGCGTGAGATTTTGTTCGGTTCAAATTAAATACCTTATATAATATCTATCTTTCATATCCACCAACTCGTGTGCGTGTTTTCTTTTTTTTGTAAGTTATATGTGGACGAGTCGCTGTTTATGCATGAAAATTTTACGTGTCAGTTCTTGATTAGTAATTGCTTTTGAGATAGGTTATTCAAGAACCACAACGATTTCTCCATCTTTCTCATATAAGATTGATTCCACGTATTGATTCATCAACATTGGTTTAATCTTATCAAGGTTTGTCAAACATAGAAAATCATAGCGTAATAACACGACACTTCAAGTTTTCGGTCAATTCCATCCGGTTGAATTAAGAACTGTTCTCTAAGACGGGGGTTTGAAAGAATTGTACTTATGGCATGCAAACAATAAGCATAATTGTGCATTGGTTCAGAATTGTTTTGTTCTTCGAAAAACGTGCCGGAGAAAAGCCGGATGAACAGACAAACAAAGTGGAATCACACAGAAATACACAGTATTTTCTCTTGGAGATGGTGGCCCATGACAAACAAAAAAATGTCCGAACGCCGGCAAATCCTCGTAGTTGTCGTTGCGACGTGGTCCTACCTACGAATCCCACTAACCCGCCTTGACCGTCTCTCTCCCTTCGGTTTTTCTTCTTCCTATGGAGTTTGACCCCATGAACTCCACATGGAACCTCGAGCCAACTCGCGAGCGTGTTCAAATACAAAGGACGAATCTTCTCCCTCCTCTGCAGAAACCCATCTCTCCCGAGACCAGTTCTTGCAACCCCATATCGCCGAAATCTCGCACCATCCCATATGCCTTTGCCCTGCGCTGCTTCTTGATCTCGAGATTAGTGCTCCGACCCACGACCCCCAGGAGAAAGATGAGCTCGGAGAAGCTCAGGATCGTCGAGTCCGTGTCGGTTTTCTTGGTGGGCGTTCTTGTCTTGAGCTGTGCGCGATTTGTGCAGTGTCAAGATTTGAGTGACTACAGCCAAGTTGACAACCCTGCTGTTCTGCCCCTCATTACTCAACTCGTTTACGCCCGAATTTCAAATGTCACCACGAATCTTCAGTATGAGATCAATAACCGGTCCAGCTTCTGCATTAAGAATCCGTCAGTACTCGCTCGCTCTTCTTGCTGTTTGTCAAATGAGGATTGTTTTCATGTTCTTTCTTAACAAAATAATCTTTCTTGGAATAATTGGGTAGACCTGTAACTGGTTTATGTTCTAACTGTTTAACATCGCGATGTTTCATTATTTCAGGTCAGATGATTGGAACAGAGCTTTCAATTATTCATCTAATTTGGGCTTCTTGTCCTCTTGCATTCAGCAAACTAAAGGTATAACACATCATTTATTTTACCCTAGAGAAGTTGGCAAGTCTAATGTTTCTTTGTGTTTTATGATTCTTAATCTAGAACACCTTTTGCTAGTAAGTTGAGTTTGATCGTTGTAATAACTGAGGTTTTCTAGTTTCATCTTTTGGATTATTATATCTCGGTCTTTTTAAAACTCATCTTGTGTAACCACATTACATAGACAAAATTGCTCTAAATACCGATGGTTGTCCAATGACCGGGTATTAACATTCCATTTGCCACTTAGTTGCTGGATCCACAAATCTACTGACGTTTTCCTGTCAACACAAATTTCTTTTTCTCATCTGACATGATGCTCCCGCTTGATGCTATAGGAGATATGGCTAGCCGTTTGTGTACAGCAGCAGAACTGAAGTTCTACTTCAATTCCCTATTTCAAACTTCAGTGAGCAGTAATTATCTGAAGCCCAACAAAAATTGTAATCTCACCACCTGGATTTCTGGTTGTGAGCCTGGATGGGCTTGCAGTGTTGGTGCGAATCAACCAGTCGATCTGAAAAATGCACAAGAAATCCCCGCAAGGACCGATAATTGTCAGGCTTGCTGTGAGGGATTCTTCTGTCCTCATGGTCTTACATGCATGATCCGTAAGTATCCTAGGCCTATCACAATTTTTAGCAAATTTTACTATCGTAAGATGGAATTCCAATTATCTGGCCTCTCACTTTTACCTGAGTGACTTTTCATGTAGTTTCTCCTTATGTTATTGAAATAGGATAATATTACGTTGACCTCTAATTTTATTCCCCACAGGAAGCATGTCCATAGAATTGGCTATGGTATAAACCCATAGGATAATATGTTTGTATGTTTGAGCTTCTTGACAATCCTGGAAGCCAGCAGACAGAAATACAATATTTGTTCCTTATTCTTCTGTTAGCTTCCCGCTTATGATACGATTTAAATTTATTTCATGACTACTTTGGTCGTACAAATTCTGTGATCGAAAAGTATTTTTCTCACACTTATAAGCTTTATCTTTATTGACTCTTACAGCCTGCCCACTTGGAGCTTACTGCCCACTTGCAACACTCAATACATCGACAGGCATATGTGACCCGTAAGCTCAGCCTAGTTAGCAGTATTTCTCATTTTTATTTTTATGTTGCCCAAAGTGCCAATAGAACTTTATGCTGCTATGATTTGCAGCTATACCTACCAACTACCCCCAGGGAGGCCAAATCATACTTGTGGAGCAGCAAATATTTGGGCCGATGTTGGTAGGAGCAGGGAGATTTTCTGTTCATCGGGATCTTTCTGTCCAACTACGGTGGAAGATGTCACATGTGGTAGTGGGTATTTAATTTTTTTCCAGTGCTTATTTTCATTTTCAGGATTACCTCCACAATGCTCTCTACCTTCAATTGGATGTAAATCTGATTCATCTGTAATTTCTTTTTCTAGTATCAATCTTTCATCCAAGTTATGGTCTGTTTCTTATTTTCTTTCATTTTTCACATTACTGCAGACACTATTGCCGGCTGGGATCTACATCTGAGCAACGTAAGTTTCTTAATGGAAGTGAATTGATCGAGGAAAATTAAGCTTTCGAAATTGAATATTTGGCATTTGGAACTTCAATTTTGTTGTGTTGTGGGTTTACACACTTCTTGATATCTGTATTCTTTTGCAGCTTGCTTCAAGTTGGTTTCTTGTGATCCGAACACTGTAAATCAAAACATCCGTGCTTATGGGATTATGCTTATTGTAAGTTTCTATACACATCTTGAGCATCTCTTTAGTATCTCCTTTTCTCAAATTTTAGATAATGCCAGATTTACGATCACTAATGTCTTCTCTTTCGTGAAATGTGTCATCTCGAATGTCATCTCAAACATTATCGGGCCATTCACTTTTGCAATCTCCAGATCTTTTACTTTTGCTGAACGTTGTTTTTGTTGTTATGTATTTTATTCTTCCAAGACATTATTTTTACAACCAACAATTTAGGTATTGAAGTTTCTGGCTATGCTCATGCAGGCTGCTTTGAGTACTTTCCTACTCATCATCTACAATTGTTCCGGCCAATTACTCACTACTAGAGCGAGGAGACTAGCCAAATCCAGGGAAGCAGCTGCAAGAAGTGCAAGAGAGACTGCCATAGCACGTCAGAGATGGAAAGCTGCAAAAGATACTGCAAAGAAGCACGCGAGTGGGTTGCAATCTCATTTATCACGGACATTTTCCAGGAGAACAGACGCCGAGCGGTTCCAAATTTTAAATCAGGATAGTCCTGATGAAGCTTATGATTTTTCGCCAGCTGATCATGCAAGGAATTCGACTTTGCCACCAAATCAAAGAAAGAGGGAAAATATCGAACTCATGCAGACGATGGATGAGATTGAAGAAGATAGTTCTCATAATCTTGAAGATTCCAATCCGGGCAGCGTGGGTAAGAATAAAAAAGGGAATATAAAGAAAGTTAAACATATGCATACTCATACCCAGATTTTTAAGTATGCATATTCTCAACTTGAGAAAGAGAGAGCTCAGGAACAGAAGAACAAAGATCTTTCCTTTTCTGGAGTAATTTCAATGGCCACTAATTCTGAAATTAGGAAAAGGCCACTTATCGAAGTATCATTTAAGGACCTAACCCTCACTTTGAAAGGAAAAAAGAAGCATCTTTTAAGATGTGTTACTGGAAAACTAAGGCCTGGGCGCATCGCGGCTGTCATGGGTCCATCAGGGGCTGGGAAAACATCGTTTCTATCTGCATTGGCTGGAAAAGCTGTTGGTTGCTCAACTACTGGTGTAATCCTGATCAATGGGAAGAGGGAATCAATCCACTCTTACAAGAAAATTACCGGTTTTGTGCCACAAGACGATATTGTCCATGGAAACTTGACTGTGGAAGAAAATCTCTGGTTTAGTGCAAAATGCAGGTATGGTTCAGTTGATTTACTACTATTACTTCAAAAGAATGCCTTCAACGTACATTATAGAAACACATGCTTGTAAAATGTTTGCTAAAATTTAGATCATTAAAAGAAACTAAGAGCTTGTGGTTCTTGGATCCCATATCAGATTGAGTTTTAGCTTGGACTAAGAACATACTCTTCATACCTCATCACGCATCTCCTATTTTGGAAAATAAAAAGGCAAAGAAGTTTTCTAAATTTTGTTGCATTTCTTAGTCTAGGATTTTGCAGAGAATTGTTGATGGAAAATGTCCATCTTTCACATGTGAACATAATCTTTCATACCACTTTGCTGCATCGACCCTTAATTTTATGCTAAGCTATGGAGGCAACACTCTTCTACTGGTAATTCTTTCTATATTTTCATGTAAAACCTGAAGACTTCCTGCTAAGATGCCAAAGGCAGATAAAGTGCTCGTTGTTGAGAGAGTTATAGAGTCCTTGGGGTTGCAATCAGTGCGAGAGTCGCTGGTTGGAACAGTCGAGAAGCGAGGGATCTCCGGAGGCCAGAGAAAGAGAGTAAATGTTGGCTTAGAAATGGTGATGGAACCTTCACTTTTAATTCTAGATGAACCGACATCCGGTCTGGACAGTGCATCCTCACAGCTGCTCCTGAGAGCACTTCGACACGAAGCACTGGAAGGGGTTAACATCTGCATGGTGGTTCATCAACCGAGGCAAGTTTCTGCAAGAATCATCAAATTATCATGCATAACCATTTTCATGAAGATCTATGATATGCAGTGTTCATAAGGATACCTAGTGAAGCTGCAACTATCATTAGGAATGTCCTGATAAAAAAGTCTAAATTCTAGGCTGCCTTGTTCTTGTTTTGTTTTATACATAAAAAAGAAAATTTTCTGGTAACTGAACAACATTTTTGGGTGCAGCTACTCACTGTTCAGGATGTTTGATGATTTGATACTACTGGCAAAAGGGGGCCTAATTGTCTATTATGGTCCAGTGAAGAAAGTTGAGGAATACTTTGCAGGAATGGGCATAAATGTGCCAGAGCGAGTGAACCCTCCAGATCACTTTATTGACATTTTAGAGGGCATCGTGACTCCAAGCACAAGCTCTGGCGTGAATTATAAAGAACTTCCTATCAGGTGGATGATTAACAACGGGTATCCAATACCTCCAGATATGAAGGAGGATGCTGGAGCCATTTTGTCCAGTGGAGGCGCAGGTATAGTTGTTGGACTTAATGCCCCTAGAGTTGGAACTGAGGAGCAATCTTTTGCTGGTGAAATATGGCAAGATGTGAGGAGCAATGTTGAGAGGCAGCGGGATAAAATACGACTCAATTTCTTGAGGTCCAAGGACTTATCTCATCGGAAAACTGCAGGAGTAATCTCGCAGTACAGATACTTTCTTGGGAGGTAAGAAATATTAATCAGCAGAAAAAGTTCCGGTTGTATGATTCTTCTATAAGAGCCAAAAGGATGGACTTATACGAGTTAAAATGTGTGTATTGTGAATTCGAAGCTTCTGCTCGCATAGTTCAAGATGGCTTTACTGAACAAAGAACCCAAATCAAAATGATTTTATTTTACTTTCTATTCAATGCTTGTCGGGGAAATCATGTGTCTTTTCATAATCATCCACTTATTGGTCTCGTGGAAGGCTTGTGCAATGATTTCAAAGTTTTTCTCATTTTTATGTTGTTGACATTTCCAGGGTTGGTAAACAAAGATTACGTGATGCTAGAATACAAGCAGCAGACTATCTAATCTTATTACTCGCTGGAGCCTGCTTAGGAACACTTGCTACTGGGGGTGATGAATCATTTGGAGCTGCCGGTTATACTTATACCATAATTGCTGTCTGTAAGTTGGAAGCTTCTCGACCATTCATTATATGTCTCTCCTTATTTGACCTTGTGATTGTTAATATTGACCCAACAACTCGAACTTCAAGAACATTCATGATGTTCGTTACGTAAGCTCTCGGTCGTACACATTCTATCACATGTTTCTGCGTTCTGTTTGTTACTGAAGGTAATCGTCATTTGTCTTTCAGCCCTTCTGTGCAAAATCTCGGCTTTGAGATCACTTTCTCAAGATAAGTTGCAGCACTGGAGAGAGAGTTCTTCTGGGATGAGCAGCTTGGCTTATTTTCTTGCAAAGGACACAATTGACCACTTCAATACAGTGATCAAGCCAGTGGTGTATTTATCGACATTCTATTTCTTCACCAATCCGAGATCTTCCTTTGCTGACAATTATACTGTTCTTCTGTGCCTTGTATACTGTGTGACTGGCATTGCTTATGCCCTGGCCATCTTCTTTGAACCCGGCGCGGCCCAGTTGGTAAGTAAAATTCACAATCTTCTATTTAGTTTTCTTTTTTTTGCGGTAATGAGAAACTTTATAATATTATGCCAATAATGCCTGATTTACTTCTAATTTGTCGCACGTGCTCCTGATAATTGCAGTGGTCAGTTCTTCTTCCTGTGATTTTGACTCTCATCGCAACACGGAATGGTGGTGGTATTTCAAGTATCATATCTAACTTTTGCTACCCTAAGTGGGCTCTGGAAGCATTTGTGATTGCAAATGCTGAAAGGTAATGGTTAACCGATGCACTGTTCATTTATCCTTTAATGTAGACGCATGTTATCCTCACCAAATTATTTCAAGGTCCAACAATGTGGAGATACCATTAGATCTTACCCAACGATATGAAACATCCTCACAAATTGGTTTAGACATTGACGTGATAATATTGAGAAAAACTCTAGACAGAAATGTTAATCGTATTGCTTATTTTTCTGCTGCAGGTATTACGGCGTGTGGCTTATTACTCGGTGTGGTGCGCTTTTCAAAAGTGGCTACGATCTTAATAACTGGGGTACATGTATATTTATCCTGATCTTCATCGGCGTACTTGGCCGTGCCATAGCCTTCTTCGGCATGTTGATCTTCCAAAAGAAGTAAGTTCAAGCAGCGATATCCTCCTCATCATCGGATCTCTGTGCACGGAAGCATTCGCAGCTTTGAGCTGTTTTAATAGGGCCAAATATTTGGAAATGCGCAATTCCTTGGAAAGGAGGGTTTCTGTGGATCGTTAGCTTTCTCGGAATTGCTTCATCATTTTCTATACCGAGTATTCGAGGTCGGCCATCCTTGGCGAAGTTGGTCCATCCACGTTCTTTATCTGATCTGGGGAAAGTTACTGCTCAACCATTCTGTACACAAGATCTTAAGGCAATTGTTCTGGTACAGGATTCATACCTTAACTACCCCTTTAGTATTATATAGAATGTTGATTAGTGCAATGGAGTTGCAACATCTTAATTCTGGAGCATGATACCTTACTACTGCGTTCAATTTGGAAAAATTCGAGTTTCTTTAGCATCAGAAAAATCTAGCCAAAGAATAACCAATATTCAAATCTTCGATTTAAGGACGTTTATGAGTGATTAAACATGCAATCTCAGTCAGGAAATATAGATGGCCTCCATCGACGATTAGCTAAAGAATTTGGCTTTGAACGATGCATAGATAATTTTCACGAACCCATTCAATTTATAAAAAGGAAGATACCAGCGAAACATATGGAGCTCTCCAGGCAACTTTCTATAATTCAAGAAATTCTAGTTCAAGAGTGGCAATGCTATAATAGTACCGACGTTGGCAGTGTAAAGCAGAGTTAGCTGTTCTTTTTTAATTTTTCCCTTTTCTATTTCACAGTTCATATTTCTGCACGTTGAAGTACAAATTCCACCAGCAAATATTCATGCATTCGCAGCATGAAATTTCTATCAGTGATGGCATTTGAAGTGTTTCCTGTACAGTGGTGTACTCTTCCCTTGTCCTTTTTGGGTACAAAAACCAACCAGTCCAATAAAACAAATGAACTACTTGGGTCATTCATTGTATATCGAAGGCCAATAAACAACAAGAGAAATCCTTGTTGCGCAATCCCCGAGAATATGCCTTGTGAAGCTCGAACTTACTATAAGAAAGGGCTCCAACGTATGATCATGCCAATTGGTTATGAAGTTTCAGTCATTTGGACCAAGAAAACTGAACCGCTAAGGCAAAAGTAGGCCTGTAACCAAAACGACTCCAGAAGTCTTTCAAGAGTTGGGGCTTGCGGCATGACATGGAATCTGAATCTGAATGTGGAAATCGACAGAAAAGACGGTCTCTGCTCATCAGGCATATTATCAGACTTCAAAAACAAGGAAGCATATTAAAGTCAAAGCAATGGTGGTCTCAACATTTAGACATATGAAACTAGGCCCTCTACTAGATTCCAAGTCGAATGATCCTCAAATGACCAAACGTAAGAAAATTTAAACACGGTATCAAGACTACAGGAAGATTCCTGACCATAAAAGTTAATTCTTTTTTTGTTACAGTACCAGATATAATTAATCACATATTACCTGAAAAGCTTCAAAAAAATTCCTTATTTTACATTTACGTTCTTGAGAACTAAAGCTGGTATGAAGAAAGTAGAATCCAAGAAGAGGGCCTACAATTACCTCATAGTCATTTCCAGATGATGTCACCCATAAATTTAAGAGCCGGAACACCTCTTATCTCTACATCAACAAGAGGTGCCTGAATTAGATTCAAGCCAGAGAGTTCTGGATCATTTTGGATCATATCAAGAGCTCGCATCTGATCCTGAAATATTCCCGGAAGTTTTTAGTCAGCATCTAAGCATAACTTTAATAACCGCACAACTAGTAACCCAGCAACTAAGATGAAATCATTTCATGTAATTGAGGAAACGGGTTACCTTCCTTTTCATCGAGCAAAACTTGCAATCCGAGGCAGATGGAGGAAGAATCTGATTAACAATCAGCCTCTTGACCGGAACATTTTCTTTCTTCAGAGATGAATGCAACCGGGAAGACTCGCTAATTGCCATCACCTACAAAGAAAGAACCAAGAGATGTACGACCAAACTTCAACCGACTACGTTAGATATGAATAAGCCAGAGAACAGCAATTAAATGACTGATCTACTTAGCTTCTTTCTTTTTTTTTTCTTTTTTGCAATTGAATTCTACTAGTAGGGTAGACTTCTAAGAGCTCATTACCGTTGGTATTGTCACTATGACAAATTCTGTCGAATCCGTGTCACGGAAAAGCTCACGCACTTTCACCATTCTTTCCCTTAGAAGCTCCAACTTGTTCGCCTGCATAACAAGATATAACTATGAAGCATTCTGATTAAAATATCACAGCAAAGACAAATAGTCCCAAATTAAGCATTCCTCACTTACAGCATCCTGCGGCTTATTTTCTTCTTGGCCAAAAACAGATTTGATGGCAGAGGTAGCTGATGAAATTTTTTGCTTGAGCTGTAACCGAGGAAATACAGAAATTTGAGAAGGGACCCAATAAAACATAGATCGAAGTCCTATCATTTTATAGAGCCTAATAATCTATCTCTTTAATTTTTAATGAAGAGTTGTTCCTATACTTGGTGAATTCCAATCACTGCGACTTACAAATATAATGAAAGTAATATCACAGAGTCAGGGGAAGAGATGTCATCAAGAAGGAACAACCAAAAGTATTTGGCGCAAGCCATCTATTTCACCACAACCTGTTCATGAAAGCTACTTACCAAGATACATAAACACACACTTATTTGCTGTTATTAGTTTCATTGCAAGGTCTTTCACATCCTTTTTTTTCTTTTTTTTATACGACCAAAAATGATTCGAACTGCCAAGGAGCTGGGAGCCATCATAAATTCAAATTCTTACCTTCAATATCTTGCCTATTGATGCATCCAGAAAGTCAGGCAAAGACAGCAGCCGCAGAGTATGACCCTGTTGAAAAACTACCAATAAGATTATAGATCTAGTGATTGATAAACATTGGCTGTTCAGTTTCCCTACCGTGGGTGCAGTATCAAATATGATTCTCGTAAACATGCTATATTCTGGTGATTCAAGGAATTGTATCACCTGAAACATTTTAAATTTCAAAATCATTAAATATGTGATGGATATAGTATAGATATTACTAAGCTATAGTGCAAAAAACTTCCGAAAGAGGAGATAAAACCTTCGAAATTGCAATTGCTTCATCCAGTCCAGGTGGTGGTGTATCAAGCAGCTCTCCCAGCTTAAGCTCACCAAGCTTGACAAAGGTCAACAGAGCTTCATTATAGTTACACGATCACACAATTTCCAGGGGACTGATTTTCTATTGGTCTTTTGTCAAAAAGAAGCTCCAAACACAAATGGTCAAGTAACTTAAATTCAAATATCACAAATATTAAGAAGTGACAATTTGTTCAAACTATAGCAGGAGGATTCTAAACAAGGGAACAATTAACCATAGTCTTGTATCAACTTGAACTCCAATGGAAAAACAAATGAAGGCGGTTATGTTGGGCTAACCATACAGAAAATGGCACTTTTTGGAACTGCAAAAAATGTGCAGAAAAATATCCTTACCTGTTCTACAAGCATTCCGAGGCCCATTCCATCCATGAAATCTTTAACCCCAGTTCCACCATTTTTCTGACTTGCACTACGGAACTCTTCCCTAGCTTTTTCGGGATTTATCTGCATTAAAAAAATTTAACTTTAATAGACTAGAACACTAGATCACATCTTAAGACACACAACATGAACCATTGGATATTCCACCAATCATATGCCGATGCTACATACCTCGAGAGCAAACAGTGGATAATCAGGTCCTTCAACACGTGCTAGCACACCCCCTGTTAAATCCTACATATCGTAAATAGATAGAAATGCAGCATCAGCTACTGGCACAATTGGGAAAAAAGTAACAGCAAAGAAACTAAGAAAGTACCGATAGGTTGAACCTGCGCGAACGAATCACTCAAAGAGTGGGCTGGATCAGTTGACACCACAAGAGTGGGGTGTCCATTGTTAGCAAACTTCACAGCAAGTGACGCAGCACAGCTCGTCTTACCAACACCTCCTTTCCCACCAAGCAGGTAATACTTGCGCTGAGTCCCCGAAACCATCTCATCGAACACTGCAACAGATTCTGCAGGGGCTGCCACTGCCCTCACTGAAGAAAGATAGGAAAGTATGGAAGAGCACCAATGAAGAGAAAATGCCTCTCCCTATGGACACGAGAGGTTACAAGAATTATTTGCATCAAACACCATCAAGAGAGTATGTGATCTTCCTCAATATTATCCCCAGACTTGAGGACAATAATTCTATATCAAGCGAAGACAAATTCTACTCTCCTTCTTCACTAGGTCTGAACCAGATCTGACATTCAACCCAATGTATAAAATTGATGCTATCTGGACATCCAGTAAGAAGAGTTCAAGGACTTCAGAGGAAGAACACGATTAAGAAATATTAGTATTTCTAATATTTTCTTCCTCTTTTAGTTCAATCTTCAATGTACCACTTAACATGTTCATAGACTGTACTCCTTGTGTGGAAGTACTTCATCTAACAGTGTAACTCGAGTAAAAATACAAGAATACCCAGTATTTCTACACGTTCATTATGAGTATGCAGATTCACATGCCCAAATATCTGTAGATCACATGCTCATGCATTACATCAGGGGAATTAATCATCCGTGCATTCAAGGACATTTTACTATACAATTGGTACCAGCCCATCATCACACTGAGAGATTCTTGCACAGATGCAGAATAAGATGTATACCAATAAAGACAGTTCTTTCGGTGCGGACACCAACTTCCATGGAGTACCCGCATAATACATATGACATTTAGTTAAGAAGAAAAGGAAAAATCTAAAGCTCAGTTCATCCCTTCTTTTGGCCAAGTACAGGGAATGCTTTAGCTCATTAATTTGATTGATGAAAGAAATGTCCAGCTTGTCATTCTCCTAATTTCTTGGTTAATGCACAACAAACCTCCACAGTGTTTACTTATCAGCGAGAACAGCAACCAATACACGTGCAAACCACCTACTCCACACAACTATTGAAAAATCCAAACTTTGCAGATTAAAATTCCAGGAACACAGCCAGTTCTTACGATAAGCCGCCTAAACACAGAAGCTGAAGATTCCTTTCAGCTCAAATAGGGGAATTAACGATTAGGAATCACTTAGATGAAAAACTTCATTAAGCCCAACCGTTTTTCGGGCATTCAGCGAAGTGGGCACCGATTAAATTACCTCGAAAAGAACTCCCCCGAGTCTTTCTAGCGATGGAAAGCGAGACGAGCTTGCTGCGAAAAGGATTCGTCGGTTTTAGCGTTTTGGGAAGATGAGAAAGCGGATTGATGGGTTCGACGGAGGTTGTTGGTTTGCGAAAAGCAGGTGAAGAAATGGAGGGTATACATGGAGCTGTCGCCATATCGTCGTCCCTTCTTCTTCCTTCTCTTCTTCTGCTAAGGGAGACAGGCAGAGAGAGCACGAGAGAGTCCGTCAGGACCGTGCGCGCGTGCGTTTCTTTTTCTAGTAATCCCCGAAAAAGAACAGGGACAGGTTATGTCCACCGTGAAAAGATTGGGATTACCCAAGAGCTTCTTCTAGATCTTTTTGGAAAGGAAATTTAAAAAGTCTTCTTGTTTTTTTTTCCTTTGGTCGGAAAAAAAATGTCTTCTTGTTTGGTAAGATAGATTAGTATAGTGGCTGCTTAACATCAGTACAGATAATTTTTTTTTATGGATGCTAATAGTTTAATAGGATAAGTTATCTATTATAATTAATATTTATATTTATTTCCTGAGTTATAAAGATCATTTTCTCTTATCTTTTGTAATTTTTCCTACTCGATTACTATTCTATCAACCAAATCTTTCTCTTTTTTTTCGTCGATGATTAATTTGTTATATGAATAAATCGAATTTTAATGAACGATTCATAAATCATCCGCTTGCTGATTATTTCATCTTTTTGCTTTTTATAGTTTCGCTCAATTCAAAATTTAGCGATGGAGATTGATAAAAACTCCCTAAAATATAAGTGTTTATTTTCCTTATTATCTCGAGAATACTCTAGAATATCGATGTGTACATTTTCCTTATTGCCCTAAGAATATACCAAAGTATTCAAGAAGACTTTCGCACTTAGAAGCTTAGAGGCTCGCCCGATCATCACAGCCACTTCCTGGATCCATGGAATACAAATTATATTATCGACGCTCTCGCGACTATCGCAATCCGACTGATGAATCAATGAATCGCACAGCGAATTGAGAGTAGAGAGACAAGGGTGGTAATGAAGCTACTATTCTCATAATATCGGCGAAATCGCACCGAAGAGGCTCCAGTAATTCTACCTTACAACCTGAAGCAACTTGCCAACGAGCGATATGATCAAGACTCAAAATTTTCTAAAGGGAATACATCAGCAATTCACACGAGCAATGCTTGGAAGCATTCTCAATTTCTGGTTCCAGCTAAATCCTCCAAAGTCAAATTCAAGGTATCAACAGAGCCTTTCTTCACTTCCTCTCCTCGAGCAGCCAAGAAATCCTCTATGCTCCCAGGCTCTCCGAACCACCCAAGCCGATCCGCTATCAGGTGTAGATTATTGCAACCGCTGCATCTGACCACAACTACGCCTTTCTCATATGATTCGCGACAAGCCGTCTTCACTGATCTCGTTTCACAGACCTTGCAAGTAAAAACCAGGGCAAGATCATGCCTCGAAGAAGATTTCAAGTTTGATATGGCGGAGTACTTGACTTCAGGATTGTCATTGCTCTTCGGCTCAAGTGGAAGGGAATTGTTGGGCTTCCTTTCACCGACTTCTTGGATTTTCAAGTCCCCATTGGCCTCTGCTCGAGTCTTCAAGCCTCTTTCATAAAGATTGTGTCTACTGCACAATGCACTTGCAAAAGGAAGGATATGTCGCGAAGCTTCTGCAATGCTTAAGTGGTGTAAGTAGCAGCAACAGCAGAAGTTAATAAGAGCATCAACAAATGATGGACTGCATTCAAGGATGATGTGAAACAACACAAATCTAGTGTGCGAGAGCTTGCAGATGCAGATTGATTGAGCATGCATTCAAAATTGTCAGGCAATGGACACTGAGACTGCGTGGTGCGTGGCTGGCTAAAGGATACGCCGATCAATAGGGGAAGGCTGACAGATCACATCCACTGCAGGTTAATCCAATCAGAAAATTATAAAGAAGATTGTGAGAGGAAAAAGTGAAGTTGTATTATCCAATAAAATTCAATATATATACATCAAAATAAATCCTAAAGGTCCTAAGGACAACTTTACCCTTTACACTTCTAACACTCCCCCTCAAGCTATAGCATAGATATTAATCATGCCCAGCTTGTTACAAATATAATCTATCCTCCCATTACCCAGAGGTTTAGTAAACATGTTTGCAATTTGTTCACAAGTTCGAATGTTACTGGGAAGGATCAATCCACTCTGCAACTTCTCTCGAATAAAATGAAAGTCAACCTCAATGTGTTTTGTTCTCTCATGAAATACAGGGTTGGAAGCTATATGCACTACAGCTTTATTATCACACCATAGAGTCATGGGTACTGAAGCTTTAAAGCCTAACTCAGTCAATAACTGCTGAATCCACACTAATTCACATGTCACTTGTGCCATGGCTCTATATTCTGACTCAGCACTTAAGTAGGCAACGACACCCTGTTTCGTACTCTTCCACGATACCAGATTTCCTCCAACCAAGGTACAATAGCCAGTAGTTGACCTCCTATCATCTGGAGATCCTGCCCAATCAGGATCAGAAAATCCTTCAACTCTGCTATGACCATGGTTTTGGTAAACAATTCCTTTCCCTGGAGTGTTCTTCAAGTATCTCAATATCCGAATAACTGCATCCTAGTGAGATGTACGGGGGAAGACAAAAACTAGCTTACCACACTGACTAGAAAGGCAATGTCTGGTCGAGTAACTGTGAGATAATTCAACTTACCTACCAGTCTTCTACATCTCTCGGGATTATCAAGAATTTCTCCTTCCTCAGCTGCCAATTTAACCCCTTGTTCCATGGGTGAATCAAGAGGCTTTGATCCCAACATACCTGTCTCGGTAAGCAAATCCAGAACATATTTTCGCTGTGACAAAACAATACCTTTTTGTGACTGTGCAACTTCAATTCCTAGGAAGTGCTTCAACTTTCCTAAGTCCTTGGTCTGAAACTGTTGCTGAAAATATATTTTTAGTTCAACTATACCAACCAAATCATCTCCCGTGATGATAATATCATCAACATATACAATCAAGAATAGTTTGCCTCCCCCTAACTGTTTATAAAAGAAAGAGTAATCATTTCCACATCTAGACAGTCCAAAAGAAAGTATAGCCTCAGAAAATCTTCCAAACCACGCCCGTGGGGATTGCTTCAAACCAAATAAAGACTTTTTTAATTTGCAAACTAGTCCCTCAGACTCCCCCCGAGCAACAAACCCCGGAGGTTGCTCCGTATAAACTTCTTCATTAAGAGTACCATGCAAGAAAGCATTTTTAATATTAAGCTGAAACAATGGCCATTTATATGTTGCAGCAAGAGAAATCAAAATTCGAACAGAAGTAAGTTTAGCAACAGGAGAAAAAGTATCCAAATAGTCAATCCCATCCACCTCGAGTCATTAAACGAGCAGCATCTCCATTTTTGTTAGTTCATTCAGATATTTGGGGTCCTTGTCATATTGTTTCCAATTTGGGTTTCAGATATTTTGTTACTTTCGCTGATGACTGACTATTCAAGAGTCACTTGGTTATATTTGATGAAAAATTGTTCGGAATTGTTTTCTATATTTTGTGCATTTATTTATGAAATTCATACTCATGATATCATGTGAGAGGAAAAAGTGAAGTTGTATTATCCAATAAAGTTCAATATATATACATCAAAATAAAACCTAAAGGTCCTAAAGACAACTTTACCCTTTATACTTCTAACAAAGATCTAAGAAAGAGCTTATGTCTTTGTAAAGCGTAAATTTTCCTCTACATGTCCTGGTTCATACATCCGTTACCAATCTGTGACCACTCAAAGAGTGAGTTATCTATACGATTCCCAAAGTAATCAAGTAACTCGACACTTCTCATCTCTGCAGGTTACCAAGGGCAAATCTTTAACGTGGTATTGTAGCAGCATCTCATTCTACTGGCTTGCATCAAATAAGAATAAGAGATTGTCCAGTCAAAACGGTCTATTCATCCAGTCTTCTCAACAAGCATATTTACTGTGACTCAAGAATAACGCAAATTCAAGAAGCGTCTTTCTCTCCATCAACAAGCGGGTAATCAATTAGGCCTCTAATCCGAGTGAACAGCATCGCCGATCATCCTTCCATGAAATGCTACGTCTGTCTTGCTTATAATTCTAATCCAAATTTACCCATGCCGAATCCTTCCTTCCTTCCTTCCTTCCTCCTCAGCGACTACTCTAGTAATAGGTAAGGATAACTCTTATTTGAAAATGTAGGCTTCCTCTCAATCTCCCTAAGTACAACAAAATTTAAATAAACAAAATACAACTATTCAAAATAACAGGAAGGACTTCCCAGCCATGCTCATGGTGGCACCACTGCTGCTTCGTTTTCCCTTAAAAAATTCTCGATTCCCTCTCCTAAAGGCAATCAGAGAGCTCAATGTGAACATCCTCTGAGCAAGGTAATCTGAGTCCTATAGAAACTCTCACCACCCTTCATTCGAACATGATCATAATAAGCACCCAAAACAACTCTCATCTAAGGCTCGGGCATGACCCTTCAGTTCCGAGGAAGAGATACGAGCACGGAACCAGAGCGGGATAAAAGCGACAGACTTTAAGCGATTCTTGCTTACCCATTTTCGCAAACGAAACGATAAATGATCTAAGCCCATCGAAACCTAACAAAAAGATCAATCGCGACGGGAAATGGAGAAGCAAAACAGACGTAGCGTCCCAAATCGTCGAGGAGACAAGAGGCATCGGTGCTCGACCGGCATAGCCGCGATTAGGGTTCGTTTCTTCCGGTTGCGTGTCCCATGAACGACAACGCGTAGAGCGAGAGGAGACTAACCGGAGGGAAGAAGATTCTGAGCACGATGAGCGGCGAACAGGGACAGGATTCGCCTCTGCATCATCATCTTCCCGACACCAGCAGCCGCCATGGGGGAGCCGAGGTCCTTCCTCGAACGCTCCGAACTCAGCTTCTTCGACCGATCAATGGTGGGAATGGTGGAGGGTAAAGACAACCGAGTCTGGTCGGGTCGGCGCGAGTCGGCACGGCGGCGCAATTGCTCTCGGCTAGCTGGTTTTAACCTTCAATTCTTCAACCGGAGCTCTGGCAAAATTGTGGTCGAGTTTCATAAAGCTAATCCGGACACTATTTGATCATTAAATTAAATAAAAAGAAAATTCAACCTAGGCTTGAGTTAATATTAACTCGAACTCTAAAAATACAAATACTTAAAACCATAATAATAAGTATATACTCCCTAGACAATTAAATTTGCGTCCGAGTTTGCTATTAGATTCTATTAACATTATTAGTTAAGGGTCTGTTTGTTTGAACGATAACTCTTTTTAGAAAATTATTTTCCGACTTTCCCATTCGTTTGGAAAACGGAAATCTACATTGTCTACGGAATCGCTTTTTACGGATTGAAAACAATAAAATTTAAATCAGGGGATAATGACTTTCTCTTTTGGTAAGAAAGAAATCACTTTTCTTAAATCACAAAAAATATATAAAAAAATTAACTATTTTCCTTGGAAATGATTTCCATGAAAAATATTTTATTTTGTCATAAGTTTTCTGTGAAATAAACGCACTTAAATTTAACATTTCGAGCTACGCGAAGTTGAGAAAAAAGATGGTTGGATTGATCCTTGTAAGATTTGGATAAAGATCATATCAAATCAAACAAAAGATTTTCATTAAGAGATGATATTAAACCGAGCATAAAATCTAGCTTAGGAAGCATTTTTTATATGATGGATATCAATGATGCTGCAAAGCAAATATAAAATCTAACAAAAACAATTTAATCAAAAGTATTCTCTATATTTTTATGTATATTAAGATTAAAGGATAGTGACATGGCCTCCTGGATGAATTTTCAAATGGTTTTAACTTTTTTTTTATCTAATATCTCTATTTTTACTAGCCTAATGTTGCTGTTGTGCTATTTATTAAAAGAAAATGTATATATTAGACGACGAGCATTCGAACAGTAAAAAGGTTAGCTTCGAATGTTTTATTTAAAGATGAAACGGGGAGCAGATTTACATTTTGTTGATGTGATTTTCTTAGAATTGATTTTTTTTTTCAATTTAAAAGTCGAGAAAGCATAATTTCATTTTTTTTCATCGTGAAATTAAATAGTATATGGTGGCTTGACTTTTTATGATTAAGATTAAAATTTACTCGTTATCTTTTCATTTCAAAGAGGAAAGTATGCAACGAGTGATATTTAATGTATAGGGATTTCCTAGCTAGATAATTATCACGGTAAAAAATGATTGATGTAATGGGAAACCCGCTACATATTAACTATTTGAGTTCTTTAATTGTTTTTTAATAGTTAAAAAAAACTTTAGATTTAATTAGTATAATTAAATCCTTCTCCTTTTTTAATTATATATATCTTATAATATTTCGATATCTCGATTAAATTAAGTTTAACCAATATCTATAGGAGAGGTTTCGTGAACGATAATTCAAACAATAAAATAAGGTATGATCAATTATCAAATGCGTTTATTAGATTATCAAGATAAATGGGATCACAAGTACAAATTTTGTTAGGTTGGCTTATGTACACTTTCTTTCGATCAAAGACATTTATGCATTTGCCATTCTATAGACAATTTTTTTGATATTTAATGACAACAAAGATCATTAGGCTTTGTCGTTACACTTAATATCAGGAAAAAAAATATTAAAAAAAAAACTCTAGCCGGTGACATCAAGTTCTATATGATCAATAATATGAAGCTCCAAAGATTATCTGCGAGGAGAAAGGGACACAAAGGAAAAAAACGAAGAAGAAGAGAGAGAGAGTAAACTAGATGCAGTGCAAAATTAATAATATATCCAGCTACTTGAATTAATTAAATTACCTTTGCTGTTGAAAATGCAATTGCCAAACAATTTGTTGACTTGATCTTGTCCACTGACATATAATATCAAGTCCCCAAAAAATAAAATAAAAGAAAGTGTTTTAAAAACCATGCAATCCAAATCAACATGGTTGAATTGATTCAGCTGATGGAGATATCACTACGGAAGTGCCAAAGTCATGGCATGCATTTTTTACTCACGTCCTATGATAAAATGATATGTGTTCGCTGAGTTAGAATGAAATGATAAAAAAATAAAATTTCTCTTTTTCCTCCTCCATCCTGGCCTGAGTTTTCTCTACTCCTCTCAATCATCCATGGCTGCTAGATTTGGTTGTTCATGGCTCGCGAGGTAGCTCAGCTTGGATGCTCAAGGGGCGATGCCAGCGACTCCGCTGGTGACGACAGCAAGGGGAGGTTTGCAACTCCAACGAAGCAAAGAAGCTTCCGTTGCCGACATCATTCGTCCATGGACGAGATTTGGAGCTCACCATCAAAACTCGCAACCATGGACAATTCGCAGTGGCCAGATCTGTGGATGAGGCACCTCGGGAGCCATGGACAAGCAAAGATTGTAGCCATGGATGGTGGAGGACCCCTTCCGGCATCGCTCCCGGTCGGCCCGAGTCATCCCTCTGCTTCGTCTTTTTTCTGTTTTTCTCCAACCTCTAGATCTATCATCGCGTCCCTCGTTCATGGTTGTCGTCACCTTTGCCAGTGTCGCTTTCCGAATCTCCAGATTTGGCCATCCATGACCGAATGCATTTAGGCGTTGTGTCGCTTGTCCAGGGTCATCATCATTGGCGTCAAGCAACTCTAGAAGGGGCGGCTCGATTTGGAATCTCGGCTAGATTTGGAGCCGTGGTTGCGAGCGACGATGGCTCATTCGACGCCGGCGGCGATGGCCATGGACAACCGGATTGAAGAGCCAGCCAAGAAGACTCCTGAACGCGCATGGACTATGGCTAGCCTGAAAAGAAAAGTGGGTGGAGTAGAAAAAAGATATAAATAAAAGTTATTCTTTTATTCCAACCTAACGAACACGTGCTAGTCTATTATTGAACACAAATAAAAAAGCACGCCATGTCAGCAATTGACGTGACGTTTTGTAATCGGCTAAATATTTTAAGCCTAAGGGGGGAGATGTGCTTTGTAGGAGTTGGTTTTTCAACGAGAAATTACTATAACTAAAATTTCCAAAAGATACTTTGCGTTTTAATTAATAAAGATAGGAAAAAGTATAAAAAAATGTCTTAAACCTATTATATTAGTACCAATTCAGTTCATCAAACTAATTTAGACCAAAAATTACTGACGTGGACGCCAACCATCTTACATGGCACAGCCGATATTAACATAGATAATTTCTAATTTTTTGAATTTTTTTTTACTTTTTTTTATTTTTTCTTTTCTTTCCTTTCCTTTTTCCCAACTCGCCGGCCAAAAGTGAGGTCGAGGGCCAGAAGGGCCTCCACACCCTCATCGGCCACAAGCGAGGGCGTTGGGCCCTTGCCCAAATCTACCAAGGGGGAGCCATGGTCCTCGCTAGCTAACGCCACAACCCTCACCTATTGCTCGGTGAGGGCCACGATGCCCTTGCCTAGTCTAGGCGAGGGTGCTCACCTTTGGCCAGCAAGGACGCGGGGGCCCTCGCCCAGACCAAGAGATGGTTGACCAATGCCTCGCCGACCCAAAGTGTAAAAAAGAAAGAAAAAAATTAATAAAATATTTAAAAGTTAAAAAAAAATTAAAAATGGTAAAATTTGTTAACATCAGGCTAGCGCCGTGCAGGATGGTCAATGTCCATGTCAGCAATATCCAGTTTAAATTGGCCAGATGGACTAAATTGTAAAATGTTTAGAACTAAATTGGTCAATTGAAAAGTTTATGACCGACTTGGTATCAATGCAATAGGTTTAAGACTTTTTTGGTACTTTTCTAAAAAAAAAAAAGAAGGGATATGTATACTACAAGTCTTAAAACTTGTTAGGAAAGTGCAATTGAGTCCTAAAACTTTAAAAAAGTACAATTAAATCTTAAAACTTGTCAAATTTGTGCAATTAAGTCCTTCTGGTTAACACCGTCAAATTGTCTAACTGAAAATGTTGAAGTGGCATTTTTAAATTAATTTTTCTCTCCTAGGTGGCATTTTTTATATTGATTTTTCCTTTAAATCTTATTTAAATAATATTAAAAACTTAAAAAAAGCTAAAATAATTAAACAAAAAAGGAAAAAAAAAAGAGGGTAGTGACTTGCCAGTGGGCACAGCCGTCGCCGCCGCCCATCGTCGGAGGGGCTTGCGAAGGTCGTTGGCCCTCGCTCGGGCCTAGCGAGGGTCGCCTGCCCTTGCCTGGGGACGGCAATGCCTCGCTCGGGACTGGCAAGACTCGCTAGCCCCAGGTGAGGGCTGACGTCGCCCAGATCTACGACAACACCAGTCGTACTACGTAGGACGGCTAGCATCCAAGTTAACAATCTTAGATTTAAATTGACCGGATGGAGGTACAAATTGAAAAGTTGAGGACTAACTCGATATCAATATAATGGATTTAGAATTTTTTTGGTACTTTCCTCAACAAAATTAACAAACAATCCGAAAGGAATAAAAAAAAAAACCTGTGAAATCCTGCATATTCACAAACCCCAAACTAAAGAATGTTCGAGAATCTATCGTCAAGAATGACCAAAAATAAAGCAGCAAGCAGCGTCCCCGTCACCTCGGCGCCATGGACACCGAAAAATCCTGGGGCAAAGCAAACCTCTCCCCCCACGTCTTGGACTCCAGATAGAGCTTCGAGACCCTACCCGCGACCCGACCCATGTCGGGCCGCCTCTCTGGGTCGTCGTCGACGCACGCCAATCCCAGCTGCACCATCTTCTCCGCGACCTCCACCGGGTACGAGTCCTTCAACCTCTTGTCCACCCACCTCCTCACGCTCCCTCTCGCCGCCTCCCTCGCCCCTTCTATCACGCTCGTCCTCCTGAAGTCGCCGCTCTCTCTGTCGAAGGAGTACTTCAGCGGCTCCTCCCCGGACAACAGCTCAAGTACGACGACCCCGAACGCATAGACGTCGGACTTCCGGGTCGGGGTTCCCTTGGAACGGAACTCCGGCGACATGTAGCCTCTCGTACCCTCGAACTTCATAGCGTTGCTGTTGGTTCTCATCAGCTTGGGTGTGTTTGGGGACGACAGAGGCTCGTCCTCCTCCGCCACTTCGCCGCACAGCTCCGCCGTACCTGGTGGAGACCGCCATTCGAGTCATGATTGTTCATAATCAATCGTTTTTCTTTGTGCTCATGAACTTTGTAAGTCAGTAACGAAATATCCAAAGGACAGAATAACACAATCGCAACCTGCCGCTGGCAACAGATATAAGTTACACGTACTCTTGTATCATGCTTGACCAAACTTCGTAAGATGTCAAGAGACGCACAGCGATTAGCATATGAAATGCTTCTTGGATCCTCTATTTTTTACCACACAAAAGAAATTATTCAATCACTTACATGTTATACTAAATTGATATTGAATTTCGGATACGGTGAGCGCCCCTCCAGTGTGCAATGGAGGTCGCTAACCTAGGCCATGGGCCTTTTTGATCGCCCATCGATCCCGTGCAGGTAAGTAAACTTCAAATATGGTTATCCACGCGAAACCCTCATTTTCAATAATCTAGATATTAGCTAGCAGATGTACTAGGTTAATCTAGTAATTCGCAAATCACACAGGTTCAAACAAAAGAGTGGGGAAGAAAGGAACAGGAAAATGACACTTTGGTACGATTTGTTTCTTGTCGGAAAACGCAAACGAAAGAACCAGGCAAAAAGATTTTGCGTGGGAGGGTCAACGTACCGAAGTGACAGATCTTGGCGTTCAAGGAATCTTCGGTGACGACGATGCTGGAGCTCTTGATCCGGTTATGGACGAAACCCGACCCGTTCATCCCCGTGCAGTGGTGGATGTACTCCAACCCGTGAGCCACGTCCGTCGCGACCTGCATTCTCGAGGCCCAGCTCGCGATCGGCGAGTAGTCCGGGTTGACCCGGTTCCTGAGGCAGTCGCTGAGGTTCGCGCCCTCCACGAACTCGTAGACCAGGTAGACGTCGCCCTCCGAGAGGGACGCGCCGAGCAGCTTCGCGACGCTGCTGTGGTGGCTCCTGCAGATCGAGGCGAGGAGCTGGCGGAGGCGGGGGAGCCCGGCGGGGCGGCGGAGCCTGCGGCGGAAGACGGCGACGTCGCGGCCGCGGAGGGAGCAGCGCCAGGCGGAGGAGGAGGGGGAGAGGCGGCGGAGGAGGAAGTTGCCGGTGGCGGAAGAGATGTCGGAGAGGGGGTATATGTGGGGGGTGTCGCGGAGGTGGTGCTTGAGGTGGGCGGGGAGGGAGTAGGACGGGGTGGTGGAGAGGGAGGACGAGTCGGACGGGGAGGTGGGGTGGTGGCGGTTGTTGACGAAGGAGCAGCTGGTGGTGGTGGAGGTGACGGTGAAGAAGGTGGCCGACGACGGTGGGTCAATCGAGGAGGTTTTGGAGGAGGAAGAGGGTGCTCTTGAGGATTTCGATAATCTTCTTGGGCTCTTCGGGTTGGGTTGGATCGAGTCTGTGGACTTTCTTGATCTGCACATGAGGAGAGAGATGGAGATTATGAGTGGGCGGGATCAAGATTCGTCGTCGCCGGGAATTGCAAGAGAAAAGTTTCAGTCTTTTGGGTGGGGATCAGAGAATCCGAGGGATTCTCGATTCTGAAACTGGCAGCGGCGGCGGCGGCGGCGGCAGCAGAAACGAAACCGCCGTCTGCGGTGGGGGAGATTGAGAAGCAAGAAGCTTATCAGCACAAGAATGGAGGAAAGTTTCTTTTCTTGCGAGCTTTTTGTCCTTCGGCTCATGAGTGTTTTAGCCAATTATTTGTTCTTTGTTCAAAGTTTCTTCTCCTCTGACTTTGAGGCATTCGTTTTGGGTGGGAGGCGGTCGAATTTGGGTTCAGGTTGCAGGGGAATGAAGTCATTATCAGATGTCGCGTGGTGAGCTGATCATGCGGAGTTTTATGGTATTGCCGACTTCGATGGACACAGGTTGCAAAGTCAAAGGCCTTCTCCAGACAGACAGAAACGGGAAGGTCAACATCCATTTTGCATTTTGGGCACAAACACTATGCATCCGATCTTTTACCACCAATGGCCGGAAAACAAAAATCGCTTCAAAAATCTCATCTTTTTTGCCTTCCCTTTCTTTGGCCAACCAATTCTGTTTTTGTCTGAGAATTGGGTCGTTGGCTTCTTCTTCATCTTTTCTTTATTACAGAGCAGAAGTTTCTTGCCCTCGCTCCAATACCAACTCCTCACCTCCTGACATTATCTAAAGAAGAAGGCGGGATTAAAGAAACCATGTATTGACCTAATCGCAGATCATGATAATGGCAACCTCATCACTGTCGAGAAAAAAAAGAAGAGACGATTTAAAAAGGGAAAGAGCAGTTCTATCATTGCAAGAAAGCTTTGAAACAAGACAGGTTTCGCTCTGCACTTCAGCCATTAACCGGGACAGAACTCAGAAGACAGTAGTATCCTGATCTTCGGGGCGACCAACTGTTCATTGACGTCGCTTGATGCACACGACTGAATCATGCATGTGTTGTCCGATTGATAAAGTAAGCCCTGACCACGTTGGGTCTTTGCTTCTCCAATCCTCAATGCTCATCACACGGCGTCGATAGAACAGGTCGGTTTTTGAAACAGATTAGTATAACTGGAAGTGGGTTGACCACCAAAGGCTAGTGGGGAATGGCTACTGTTGCTAGTCAATTAGGCACACAAGCACGCACGATGTCATCTCATCAAACAGGCTTCGGACCGGGGTCTGCCACCGAAGTCTTCGGCCGGAAAGAGTCGGGAGAAAGTTGAGGAGATCATCGGATTACCCAAAAGTCCAACGCAAAGGAAAAGCCCGGATCATGAGCAGGAAAAACAGGTATATGCCCAATCCAGACATCAGTTCCGAACTGAAAAACTTGAAAACACACTTATAACTGCACTAAAGACACTTGCAAGGTGCAAACAAAGAAGCCAAAACAGACACATTCGAGTTCATTCCATTGCTTTCAGAAGTCAACACAAACAACAGACTCTCGTCGACCCACTTTGTTAAAATTCCAAAGTTCCCCAACGAAACAACAGAGATCAGATTAGACCTCTACTAAGAAACACAAAACCACGACTTGGAATTTCATTTCACCACGTTAAAAATGTAAACTTTTTTTCTTGGTCATCTTCTTCTTCAGTAATTGATGTTGGCATATGCAGAGAGAGCCTCTCCGGTCAGCCTGCAAATCCTCCACTCCTGCAGAAGCTTCGCCCCCATCTCCTCGTAGAACTTTATGGCATTCACGTTCCAATCGAGCACCACCCACTCCACCCTCCCGTACCCCATCCTCGCCGCCTGCCTCGCCACCGCAGCCAGCAGCATCCGCCCCAGGCCCTTCCTCCGGTAGCACTCCCTCACGAACAGGTCTTCTATGTAGAACCCCGGCTTCGCCAGGAACGTCGAGTAGTTCGGGAAGAACAGGACGAACCCCGCTACCACGGCGCCGCCGCCCCCCTCGGCCCCGGAAGCGAAGACCTCGTTCTCGGGGTCCTCGATGGGGAGGTCGAGGTTGATGGTGCTGACGATCGGGGCGAATGCGGGCGCGGCGGTGGGGTTTTGCTGCTGCGGCGGCGGCGGAAGCGGGGCGAAGGGGAGGTGGGAGACCTCGAGGAGGAGGACGGTGAAGGACTGGAAGGCAGGGGAGTTGAAGAGGGTGGACGAGAGGGAGGCCTCGGTGGCGGTGCACTGGTCCGCGAGGCGCTCGAAGACGGCCATCCGGTAGATCATCTTGTGGATGTGGGGGACGTCGGAGGGCGCGGCGAGGCGGACGCGGGCGAAGAGCGTGCGGCGGACGGAAGGGGGAGCCATCTCCGGCATCCCGGGGACGTCGGAGGGAGGCGGAGGCGGTGCGGCGGCGGCCATGGCGGTGGGGTTGCTTCTTCCCTGGGTAGATTGATCGCAAGGTGTTTGCTTTTTGGCGGAAGAGAAGGAGACGGGAGGTTCTGGAGGCTCTGGAGAATGTCAGTGGATAAATTAAATAGGGACGGCGTGGGACTGGGAATATCTTGATCGGATCGAGGGCATTTCGGTCAAAACGCAGAGCTAGATATGAAGATGCGAGGAACGGAGGCAGTAGAGAAGAGAAGTCCGATCGGATGAGAACTCTCCGTTGAACAACATTGTCAATTCATCTAAATCTAAAAATGAAGTGGATGATAGGATCAGAACAGAACTCTTCCCTTGACCACATTCCTAAATTTCTGCAAATTTCGACTTTCTGCCGTAAGGTACAATACTTCTATCGCATGGCAAAAAGAAACGTAAAGAACCAAAAGAAATAAACCTGCCTGTGCGACAAATGCCGGTAATGAGAGATGACAATCAGGCCGTGCTGGGAGCGAGCCCGCCTGGCTCGCCCCAGAATTCACGTCGGGACACACGAATCATCTTGAGGATCATTAAACTGATCAATAACAAGTCGGCGTCGGTTCCACGCACGAATCATCTCTCCGAATTGAGAACAGTAACCGGAATTATGACTAAACGAAAATCATCAGGAGTTAACAGTTCGCTGCGATGCACGAATCGCCTCACCGAAACAGGTGAGCTAAGACAATCGGGAGTCTCCTTTCGAGGCATGAGGCTACACAAATCTGCCGACAAGATACCGTACATTGCATCCAATCAAAGCAGGATCAGCACGGACGACAGAACAAATGGAATTGGTGTGGAATTGACAATAGAGACGAGGAGATACAAAAGGATTCAAACAATCAGCGCACTTGAATAACTAGAGCGCCCGAATTCACAGGCTTCCTACCTACCTACCTCTATGAATATTCTGTCACCATTCCGATCCTACCGTAACACTCAAAAACTACGAATTGATTCGTGAGGCCATTTTTGGCCCTCGCAGAATCACCTATTTCGTGCCAAATTTCACATATTTTACAGATACATTCCTGCCTTACTCGGGATATGTAGCTATCAAAAAGTCAGCTCACGTAATGACCCGTCTTCCTCCTGTGGCGGCTGAAGTCCGACACGAACCTAAAAGAAAGCCCGCACCCCTCCACCTTACACTTGTATGGTCGCTCCCCCGTGTGCACCCGTATGTGCTCGGTCCTGGCCCAGGCCCACTTGAATGTCATATTGCAACCTTTCCACGGGCATTTGAGAGGCCTGTCATCCTCGTGGACGCGCTGGTGAAGTACTGCATATTTGTGGGAGCTGAACCTCTTTCCACACCCTTCGACGGGGCAACGATTCCGTTTGTGCACCGTCAACTCAGCCCTCGTTTTAAATCTCATCCGGCAGCCTTCCATGTCGCACCTGTGAGAGCCACCCCTCTTCTCTTTTTCATCGTCAAAAGAGACGGTTTCTTTTCTAGGTTTGACATATTTTCTTGATTCCCTAGCCTTCTTGGCAGGATTTTCACATCCTGATGAGCTGATGTCGTCAGTCCCATTGGTTGCGTCTTTCCCAGCTCTTGGCCTCAAACCTTCACAGGGACTTCTGATGAAAGCACTGCAGTTAAGTTGGTCTTCCGCTATTGTCTCCAATTCACTCTTTCTCTTCCTTCTCTTTCGTGTTGTTGATACTTGATCTACTTTAGTGGACTCCATGGTTTGTGGCTCCCTATCATACTGGCAAGGAGAGTCTTCATGATTCATCTCACCTTTGCTGTCATTGGAATCTCTTTGAACATGAGAACATTCTTGATCAGAAGCAGCACTATGCTGATCTGTAATTTCAACAGAACAAACTACACGGTTCTCATCGCTAGTTGCATTTGCAGTCTGGTCGTTTTTCGGTGATTCACAATATGAACTCCCATAGCTGCTCCCTTGTTCTTCCGAAGAGGTTCCTTTTGGAGCCCCTCTGCATGCTTCAATGAGAAGAGGAACAGACTGGTTGACCGTTCTGTGAATTTCATCTTCTTCCTCATCACCCCCATTGCAAACATGAGGATGTGGTCCCGTTGGAGAACTATGCTGAGTTGCTTCTGTACATGCAACAGCATCACCCTTAACATTGTGACCATCTTTCAATTCTAAGAATGCTGTTTCCTCATCTACTTTACAACCTGAAGTCACGTTGGCACATAGACTTGATGAAGGGCTCGGTGCACTTGGAACTTCAACAAATTCTGAATCGGTGACAATATCACTATCTGAAACTCCTGTTGTTTTGGTCGCTTTTACTATGTCTATATTTTCTCCAGTTTCAATGATGGTTGGAAAACAAGAGTCCGTGCTAACCAAAGTCTCACTTTGACCACCTAATATTTGGGAAAACTCATTTTCACTACGCCTTTGAGAAGTATTTGCAGCTGAACTGAGAGATTGTTGCTTTACATCCATCTCCTCTGAAGCTTGATTTATGATCTGCACTTCAACATTTCCCACATATGTAGTGACACTGGCAAGTGAACTTGCAACTTGTGCTGGAATCAAATCCAAGGTCAGATCCGTGGTTGCTTCAAGAACCTGGATTTCATGGCTAACATCACCCAATCCAACAGGAACTTCAACGGCTGCAGCTTTGCATAAAGGATTTTCTGTGCCACAATAGGTATTTTCTGTCTGATTATTTGATTTCCGATGTACTTCTCCAGAACTGGCGAGTGAGACTTCTACTGGTTGCTTATCATAGCGGCCAAGGCTTCTGCTAGTTCCAGTAGAACCACCAGGTTTGAACTTGGCATTCCTTCTAGTGTATTGAAGAATTATTTCTTCCTTTCTGACAGCATCACTGTCCAAGTTGTTCCTCAATATTTCGTAGTCCTTTCTTTGAAGGTTCTCACATGGCTCACACTTCTCTGGAGTATCTAACCTAGTCCTCGAGCGCAATTTCCTGGACTTCCATCTAAGATTCAAAATAGTCGAGGGGCTGTCATCAGAAAACAATCCACCCAATGTTAATGCATGTTGGACTCGATTTGATGGGGAATTCTTCCTTGCCTTTACACAATACCGCAAGTTAATGCCCAGCTTTGAGGTCCAGTCATCGTCTCTGTAACTAGTGGATTCCTGATCATCGATCGCAAGGTCTATCAAGTTTAGATCTTCCTCTGAAGCAGAATCAAATGGAATATCCCTGTACTTAAAAGAAACACCAATCTCCTCGGCAATGGCACCAGCATATGCCTTCATTTTCTGATAGTCTACAAAATCAGAATTTAAGGGGAATCAGCATAGTAACTAAGCCAATGGAGTGTGCACTTCCACAATGATAGTGAGAGCACAATCTAGATAGATGACTTCCATTACCATAATTATCATATGGTATCATAGACCTCTGCAAAACTCTGTTATCATTAAAAAAGTGAAAATCACTGAAAATTTATCTGAACTTAGGACGTGAGTTGCTTCGTATTTTCATAAATAGCTCACAAACTCAATCCAATCAACAAGACAAAGATAGGAAGCCAATTTTACCTGAATGGCAGATCACAAGCACATTTGCTCCACCTTTGGACTGCAAAAGCTCTTCTGTTTGAATTGCATGTTCCAAACAAAAGATTCGGGGTCTTAGCGATCCACCGGAACTGCCCGTACCCTTTTCTGAGTCTGTGCTTGATGCTACTTGCAATTGCACTGGAGGTGAAGCAGAATCAGAAATATTTGACCGGTCCTCTGCAGAAGAAAGGACGATAACACATCAAACACTTCAAGTTAACCTGTTGAGGTAAAGTAAAATACTCAAAGTTCAATCAGTTTGCTTTATGTTCCTCATAATAAATAAATACACAATAAAAGAAAATTGTTTTTGGGTTTTAGACGTGTGCTGTGGGCATTGGGCAGTTGTTCTGAGACCAGAATGAACACCTATTAGTCTGCATAAGAGCTAGGCAACAAGCCTTATCTCATACGTGCCAAAATTATGACTAGTCATTCTAAAATCAGCGATAGCATAAGAGGATATAAGCAAAAACATGTAAATAGTCAATTTCTTCGCCAAGGTTCGAGTTACAGGCATAAATGGGGAACTAAGACAAATAGAAATGCTGGAGTATAATTTACCGCAGGTTTGTTGGGTATAATGTTTTGTGGGTAGCAATGCTGCTGATGCCGTTTCAGATGGTTCTATCACAGACATAAACGGGAAACCAAGAATTCCGCAAGCTACACAGGGCAACGTTCCTGAATCAACTTGAAAATCAAAGAACAAATCGTCCTTGTCCACATATGAATCATTCAGCGCTTCCATGAACATTGTCATCTCTTTGAAAAGATTAATCGAACAATCATTTCCAGAATACCGGTGTGAATTCTCTCTTTCTGAGGAGGAAATGGCAGCAGTTCCATCAGGCAACTGAGATCCTTTACTCAAAGAAGGTAGCATATGAGGGTTCCATATTACCGCATGTATGGTAGACTCCTTTCTAAGAAGAGAAGATAATAGGTCATTCTCATTCAAAATGTCTTCTAGAAAGGCTTTTTTCACAGATAGCTCTCTTTCTTCTCTCAGGCGATCTTTCAGGCGAGAACTTCGTGCCCCAGGTATTAAGGACATTGGAACTCTGGCATCAGAAGAAAACATTATCACTGAAGTAACTACTACGCATAGATATCTTTCTGTATATGCATGAGAATCTGTATGCATAAGCTGACCTTGAAACAAAAGACATGGTTAACAGGTAGAGCAGCTGCTGATGAGAGAGCATGGGCAGATAATTCATCGCAGCTCTACGTACAGCAGCTTCCTTCGCAAATCTAAGCCATTGAGGGGTTGCAAAATTAGCTGCTTCACCGCAATTAAAACCTACGTTGTGGAAAAGAAAGGACCAATATAGTACCACATAAAGACAAGAATATTGTGCTGAAAGGATTTGAAACGTCCCGAAGTTTAAAAATGACATTGTAAATGTAGCAAGAAAGAATATCAACAAACCAAACCCAGAAAGTCTATGGATGCAATATTCATCTTGCAAGTGTAACCCAAGGTGTACCAAATTGCAAATAACAACCAAAAAATATAACTTCTGTCAGACACCATCTGTTATGAGAACGTAAAAAA